TCAGATTGGATTGAGGCCACACACACTGCCTGTGTGTGAGCGCGCTAGCGGTGGGCACATCACCCCTCGAGAGATGAGAGGAATTGTCACGATTACATTTTAAGAATCCGTTCTATCTTTTTTGATTTGGTGAACGGTGGTGGTTTGCAGGGGGGTCCACGTGAACCCATTGCGTATAGCAGCTAACATCCTCGTCATCGGCGTCGCAAAAGCTAGAAAGCGCACAAATATGTGCGCGCAGGCACATGCCGAGAATTACACTTAGAGACGGAGGAACACGCGGAACACAGAACAAATGCAAATTAGAGACATTTAAACTTTTTTTTTTACAGGGTAAGGCCCACTGAGCTACATAGCTCTTTTTCAGAAGCGACTTGGCCACAAATGATAGCTCAGAAAAGTGGATTATGTGGACCCGGGGGAAAATCCACACGACCACAAGGAGACCGAACATGCAAACTCCAAATATACAGCAGGCGTCAGGGTCGGGATGGAACCCACGACCTCCTGTATACCAGGCAAGGTAGTTAACATCTCGCCACCGCGGCGTTATTGCCATGAAAAAAAGTAAGTGGGCTTGGGCAGGACGCATCTCCAAGAAGGAAAGATCCCAAGTGGTCAAGATTGACGGAGTGGTGGCAGCCAAAGAAGGGAACACGCACGAGAGGATGGCGACTGCAGAGACGGAACTGCGATATCGTTGATGCACGCACAGGAATGAGATGGATTGTTGCATTGAGAGACCAATGAAGGATGGCAACAACTTTGGGGAGCCCTTCATCCAGTCGTGGATACGTCATAGCTGATGATGATGGTGGTGGTGCTGATGTAGGTTCTCCCACAATGCCGTACGACCTTGGTAACCTAAGTTCAACCCTTGACCGCGGAGAGCACCGATGAAAGTTTTTATTTATATATCTGTAGCTTGGTCCTCTCCGAGGTTGACTCAGCCTAAAATGAGTCATTGACGTATCAACACAAGATAAATATCAGCACTATTCATGTTGCCAACGACATATTTGTCCTGCGATAGAGGTTTTCTTTTTACAACACTTGCGCCAACAGTTTATATATGATTAAATGGAGAAGCTTTCTCTTTGTGCGCGTGCAAATGCGTACGTAAAATAGTCGTGTAACGATGCATCGGAATCCATAAAAATCTATTAAAATCGATTCCGATGCCGAAGATAGACGCCACGCATCGCGCGTGGGTGAATCGGTTATTCACGATTCACGCAAATCGCATCCGAATTACACACCCATGTCACATGTAGACTAACGGAGCCAATGCAACGGCGCAGACGAGACGGGACGTACGAGATAGGAATTGAGGTGGTGGGATTGAGATAACTATCGGGAGAAAATTTATAAATTGAATCACGGCTCCCATGAATCGTGGCAATTCATCGAATTTTGGAGTTTGTGGCGAAGGTGGCAGTGAATCATCGCATGCGTGGTGTGATATTTCCGCAGTATGCGTTTTATATATAAAATAATGTGTGTACGTGTGAGGAATAGCGGCTGACACAACTTCATGTGCCAGTTCGTGGAACTGTAAAACCTCTGGCTTTGTGGCAGAGGCACAAAACTACCACAAGGACAAGGTCGGCAGTGTTTGTGATATGAACCCATGCGTGAACCTCAATGGCTTGTTATTTGCTCCCATGTCTGTGTGTGTGTCTGTGCGTGTGTGTCTGCAGTCCGGCAAAAACAACCCCCTACCTCCTCGTGGTGCCGGACGGCAACTGCTGTGGTGGGCAGTGCCGTGGGGGGAGGGCCAATTTAGATTGGCCTTTCCCTTCATGGCGTTAGTAACCACGACAGCGGCCAAATGGGGGCTCTGTACGGGTGCGAGGGGCTGGTAACCCCTCCACCTTCAATTAACTACCACTAAACTACGATGTAAAAAACGTATTAAGCTTGTGCCGGAGGCCCCGAGGGGACGGGCGTCTATGATGTCTCCTAGCCCAAATCCCATTTGGCGGAGCCAGGAGACTGAATCCTTACTCTCGGGGCTCCTCCAGAAACAACAAAAAACCACTACATGTGGCCACGTGGAATGTTCGAACGCTCACTGCGGAGGAGAGGCTGCCACTCCTCTGTCGGGAGCTGGACCGGTACCGCCTGGATCTCTGTGGTATTCAGGAGGTCCGGTGGACCCGCTCTGGCTCCTGCCACTGAGGGGTGGACAGTCCTCTACTCGGGGGAAGGAGACTGCCAAACAACAGGTAGTGGCTCTTCTTCTGAACAAAAGAATGGAGGGGGCGTGGGAGTGTGGCGGTGAGGTGTGGGAAGCTGTAAGCCCCAAGCAAATATGGGAAGAAGTCAAACCCTGTGAGTGGCTGGCTGAGGTGCCATCTGTTGAGGAAGTACTGAAGGTGATCCAGAGCCTGAGATCCGGAAAGGCACCTGGCAGAGATGATCTCCCAAGCGAAATGCTGAGGGAGGATGGCATTTGTGCACAGACTGCCCTACATGACATCATAACAACAGTCTGGACCACTGGATGAGTTCCGCAGGATTTGAAGGTTGCCCTGGTGGTCCCCCTCTTTAAGAAGGGGGACTACACAGACTGTAACAACTACAGGGGCATCTTACTCTTCAGTGTGCCGGGAAAGATCCTGGCAAGGATTATTCAACATTGCCTTGCCAGGCATGCTGAGGAGAGGCTTGCGGAGCCCCAATGTGGTTTCAGGAAAGGGTGGTCCTGCACAGATGCCGTATTTTCTGTCCGTCTGCTACAGCAGAGGTGTAGGGAATTCGAATAAGACCTACATCTCTGCTTTATTGACCTGGTCAAGGCCTATGATACCATCAGTAGGCCTGAGCTCTGGGTTCTTCTTCGTGCTTTCGGAGTCCCTGACCCGCTGCTCACAATCATTAAGGATCTTCATGATGGTGAGCGGGCCCGGGTAAAACTACGTGGCCAGGAGTCGGAGCCATTCCCTGTACACCTTGGGGTGCGACAGGGATGTCCTCTGGCTTCCACATTATTTAACATCTATTTCGACCACGTAGTTCGTGTGAAGCCTTTGATGGCTGTACCGGAGGAATTTACATCTGGTACAGATACAATGGGAGGCTGATCGATGCCTGCGTGCGGTCAAGGGATGGCTCCCTATTGCTCATACATGTTATGTATGCCGATGATCTGGTAATTGCTGCTCACTCAGAGGAGGAGTTGGAGTCGGTGCTGCTGAACCTGGAGCATGCCACTAAGAGGTGGGGCCTTACCATCAGCTCCACCAAAACTAAGCACCTGCCTGGGTATTTTGTACCATCGGACATTCCACCCCCACAACTCCCAATTGGTGATGGGGCAGTTGTGGAGACAGTGGAGAGTTTTCCATACGTGAGCAGTGTGCTCAAGATCGGCTCCAGGTTGACAGCAGAAGTGTCACTCCGAATCAGTTGAGCGGCAATATCTTTTCATCGGTTGCGTAACGCTGTGTGGAAGCTACCTGGTCTTTCGCTCCGCACGAAGCTTCAAGTCTTCTCGGCCACGGTCATTCCATCCCTTCTCTACGCTTGCGAAACGTGGACCCCGCTAATACAACATCTTCGCTGGTTAGAAACATTTAGGCTGGCCTGCCTACGATCCATCCTGGGTTTAACCAGTTTGGATTGTGTGAGGAGCTCACAAATCCTTGAAAGATCTGGGCAAAGTCCCATCGGTGAACTCCTCCGGCAGGCAAGGCTGCGTTGGCTGGGTCATGTAGCCCGCATGCCCAGTCACCGCACGCCTAAACAGCTTTTGTTCGGCCGGATAGAGGGGGCTAAACAGGCGCGGCACGGGCTAGAGAAGAGATGGAATGATGTGGTACAGGAGGACGTGGGGCTGAGTGGACTTGCCGATGACTGGTTCCAGCGGTGTCAAGATCAGCCTCTGGAGGAGGCTCGTAAAGGACGCTACTGGCAGTTGGAGGCAGTCGCCCTCCAACAACAACGGAGGGTAGAGGAGCGACGCTCACAACAACGAGCGGCGCGCCGGGTGGCTAAAGCACAGCAAGTTGGCACAGTAGGGGGCACAGGTGGTGCACCAGCAGCCAGTCATCTTAGTCAGTCGACCCGTGGCACCTGCTGGGTCTGCCCCATGACCTCCTGCCAGCGGGCGTTCGACACTTCACGTGGCCTCAACGTGCACGTAGCCTGGCACAAGCGTCGTTGTGACGTCACCGCTACTTAGTGGCAAATGGCGGTTGTTGTCTGTTCTTGTCTGTGCGTGTAGTATGGAGAGCAGTAAGAGTGCAATGGTGAGCGCATTGCGCTACGAACCCTGCGACCCGGGTTCGGTACCCACCTCATGGCCCAGCACCGGTGACGATTATCTGAACCGGTTCTGGGTCTAGTTTGACTCGGTCTTAAAAATAATTGTACCCGGTGTTTGTGTAAACATCGGCATGGAGAGACAAAGGCAGCTGGGAATGGTTTTGGCCACCCCACCCCCTCGTGTGCCGTTGCAGACTTCATCGGTGCTCTCCAACAGCACTTGTCCCAAATGTCTGTGAAGGCTATACTGGGGATCTTTGTCTTTGTGCGGCCAGTTCACACAGTAGGGAGCACATGTGGTGCATCTGCCAGTCATCTGAGTCAACCCCTGGGTCTGTCCCATGACCTGTCAGCGAACCTCCGACACTTCAAAGCGCACCTTGCCTGGCACAATTGCTGTGGTGAAGCCCACCGCCACTTAGTGTCAAATGGCGGCTGTTGTTGTGCGGCCCGGGTGCGTTGCTGGCCCCCACCGACTGCTCGTTTTACTCCCGGCCTCGGATTTCGACGCTCACAGCGATACAGAGGAGATGCAGAGAGGGGGACCAAGAGTGAGAGTCGTGGTGAAATTGTGGGGGGGGGGTAGGGGGGGGGCCTCCTAATAAGCGCACCGTATGTAGCCAACATCCGCACGTAAAGACGGCGCTGCGTGTGTCGGCACGAGAACCTATGTTGTCAACGCTGACCCCTGTCACCCCTTCTTGCCCCCAACCCCTAACCCCTCACCGCAGGAATTTTTCGACCACGTGAAGGCCCTCTGGCAGGACGAGGGCGTGCGGATGTGTTACGAGCGATCCAACGAGTACCAGCTCATCGACTGCGCCCAGTAGTGAGTACTCCTGGCTACTTATTCAGCATCGTCATCGGTTTGCCACGACCAATCCACTTCCGGTTTACCCCAATCTGTCGCGGTTCTGCGATGTAATGACAACCGCCATTCGCCACTGAGTGGCAATGATGTCGCCACAGTGCTTGTGCCAGGCTACGTTCACTTTAAGGCTACGTGAAGTGTCGAACGCCCGCTGGCAGGTCACGGGGCAGACCGAGATGCCATGGGCAGACTGACTGAGATGACTGGCCGATGCACCACCTGTGTCCCCTACTCTACCAACTTGCTGTGTTTTAGCCGCCCGGCGCTCCGCTCATTGTTATGAGCGTCACTCCTCTGCCCTCCGTTGTTGCTGGAGGGCAACTGCCCAGTAGCAGCGTCCTTCACGAGCCTCTTCCACGATGTTAATAATCCACCTAACACCTGCACCCCAGTTGGTCTCATCGATCCATGTCCTCGGTTGGAACGCCCTCTCGGAAGCATTTTTTACTTCTTAGTTATTATTACGATCACAATTGTTTACTCAGGAACGCTTCTTCACTGAGTCCCCAAGACTCTTTCAGGAGGGTTCCTGCCAAGTTCTTGCAGTCGGGGGCGACGTTGCTACTGTGTGTAATCCTCGTTGAGTAAATTTGCAGACACTTGTTAGCGTCGGGATGTTTAGTCAATGCCACGTCGTAATGTATGACGGCCTCCGCACACCATATCGGCCATGGGGAAAGTTTGGACATACTTCACCATGCTGCTCAGTGTGGTTTGGTGAAGAGAGACCGCTGCCGGTGACTTTTGTCTGCGTATAATTGCGGTTAATAGATGAATTTACCCCTTGATAGGAATAATGTATCCCTTCTGGGAGACTACCTCCGGGTGGCTCATTAACACAAAGGCTCAGACAATAGATACATCTCCTGCTACTTCTGGGGTCTCTGTTATCCACGCAAAGAAAGTTTTAATGGGGTATAACCTTCAGACGGGATCAATTAACATTCTTTTTGGCAGTGCGGATAATTGCAGTATCGCAAATGGCAGCAGCGACCGGCACATCAACGGCCAAGGCCCCTCATCCAGCAGTGGATTGACAAAGTGGCCGGATCGATAACACCTCTGGATGATGATTGATCACCACACATCGGCTAGCCCACCGGATTATCGGTGCGTCGTGGTGAGATGTTAGCTCCCTCGCCTGGTACGCAGGAGGTCGCAGGTTTACACGAATTAAAAGGCGTGAATTCTGACAGCGTGCGGTTCAGTGTGGCAATTATTTTGAGGATTGTTAATAATCATAATAGTCGATTTATCGTCACACCTATAGTTCGTATACAACTATATGGGAGAGAGAGAGAAAAATATGAAATCTCATTCAAGAAATAGGAATACAATCTTCATCGCCCAAATGTATCCTGGATTAAACGATCGGTTAAGAGAGACCGGGCAGGAGCAGCAGCAGGAGGGAGGGCAGCCTTATTGTTGTTGTGTTCGAGGCGTCGTGGGTGTATGGTAGCTAAAAAATATAGATTAGTAAAATATTTTCTACAAACTCCCCGTTATATTTTCAAGCAGGTGAGAAACACCGTGGCAGCCTCCAAAAAAAGGGTCTCGCGGACGCAACGACGACTACAACACCCAACAAAAATACGGGGCAGTTGTTTCAAAGGCGAGCACTACAGTGCAGTGAAAAAAAACCTTCATCAGCGCGGGTAATAATAATAAAAAACCACAATGGGACCGTTTTCATCACGAAACGTTTGATGGGGGGGGGGGGGGGGTGGCGGCATCCGCACTGCGAACGACTGCAGAACTGGACGTGTGGACGACTCTCTCGCTAGCGTGGCCACGGTGGTGGTGGTGGTGGAGACGGTGGAGGTGGTGGTGGAGGCTGTGGTGGTGGGGGGCAGCATGCTGGGACGGACGCCAGCATTGCGGCCCCCCACCCCCCCACTGTACCGTAGGAAGCGACTAGCCGCACGGCAGCACCGGGAGGGGAGCAGGCCCCGGCCCCCCCCCTCTCCCCCCTCCCCTCCCCGTGTTGCCGTGGCAGCGGAAAGGGAACCGCCGGTTGCCGTGGTTACGCGGGGGAAGGTCAGGGCACGGGGCTATTTATAGCGGCGGAGCGAGCTGCCGCGTCCTGATTGGCTGCTGCCCTCGGCTGCAGTCATGTGACCGGGGTGTTGGCCAATTGCCCCCCCCCGTCCGCCTCCGCTGCCAGCCGCCCCCTTCCATCGCTGCCCCGGGGGGTCTCTGGCTCCTCCTCCTTCTCCTCCTGCATGGGAGGGGCTTGGGGAGGGGGTGGAGTTTGAGGAGTCACGTGTGTTTTGGTTGGACCAATCAGGTGGCAGTGTTTTTTTGTCGCCGCATGCGCCAGTTTTAGTCAGTCGGTCGCAATCAGAATGGGGATTAATTGTAGATTTGAAGCTTTCGTGACTGCAAGGATTCGTACTCTTAGGGGTTTTTTTTTACCGAAAAAACCTAAGAGAATGGGTATTATTAATAAATGTATTTGCCTGAGGAAATCCGAAGAGCTGTAAAGCTTTTTTTGCACAGGTGACCGGTAGGGGTGGGTCAGAACAAACAATACAAAAACACGATAAGAGTGCAAATTGTAGGAAAAGTAAACAATTTTTATTATGTTTTATTTTTATTATTTTATTACTTCCCTTCTACGTGACTTTACCGAAAGAACCAAGAAGATAAACAAATCACTTAAAAATATACGAATAAAAATAATTTCAGTGAGGTATTCATTTATTTTTCAGAAGCGACCTGGCCGCAAAGTGGCTTATCACGTGGACATTTATAGCAGCAAAATAATCTAAATAATCTAAATAATCTCAATGTCAAGCCAACCTGGGGGTCTGTTCCGTCACCTCCCTGCCAACGGGGGCTTCGACACTTCAAAGTGCACCTAGCCTGGCACAAGCGCCGTGCGCTGACGTCACCGAATGGCTTGTTGTTGTTGTTGGGTGTGAAAACGCATGGCATGGGGTGGATCGTTGCCAGCCGGTGGATTTGGACCGTGCCAGGCTGTGACGTGGAGCAGAGTGCGCATATGCTATCACGTCAACAACATGAGCTCTTGATTTCCCGGTTGTAAACAACGCGTGTGGATGTATAGATGCTATTTGTATTCATGGTTGACACTTAGCCAGCGTTGATTCTCGTAAATGTCAGAATGACGCGAAAGTACGCGGACAAAATTCGGGCCAAAAAACTCAAATGAGAATCGGTTTTGAGCCTTAAAAACCGTGCGGTTGTTTGCGTCACATTGCAAATTGATTCAAGTTGTCCAGCGTGTGGGGTCGAGGCGGAGGTGCGATGATAAGTGCACCGCCACTCTTAAACCGGTGTTCCGAGTTCGCTTCCTGGCCATAATTGACATCATTAACGAAATAAACCCGAACTGGTTATGAGCCCCTGATTCACCAACCCGCACTGACTCTCTGTGGCATGTCAGTGGTGGTGATCATTGACTGAGCTTCACCACGCAGGTCAGTGAAGCTCTCAAAGGCGGAGGGACCCAGAAACTGATTCCACGTATCACTTGCCACTCGTGCTAGCCACGTACGGGGAATCAAACTCAGGTGCCTGGGCTCAAAGGGCACTGCGCGAACTGCTGCGCCGCCATTCCCCACCGATTTAATGTGTAAATGGAAATTGGAGATCTTTGTTTTGTATAAATACTAGCGACCCGCAAGTCCTTTGGAAGGGACCGTTTGTCAGTCGCTCGCTCACTTGCTCCAGCCAGCCAGCGAGGAAAACTTTGTTGTAATATAATATGATAGTACAATGATAGCACGAGGTGGAGGCTTGGGGGGCGGTGGGGGAGGCGTGCTATCGGCAACGTGAACCAGGCTCAACGCCATGGGATTCAGGCGACGTCACCACCGCATACACGCGCACTTGGCCGCGCGGTCGGTCAGGAATCCAGCCAGCGAAACTTGTTTCTACTGTAACATGATATATAATTACTAATAATAGCAAAGCTCCTGACGAGTTGTGTTTGTGTTCCCGCCCCCCCGCACAGTTTCCTTGACAGAATTGACACGGTGCGGCAGAACGACTACACGCCCACCGACCAGGTAAGCCCCCGTCGCACCGCTCTGCACCTGCCAACGTGACTTTACTCCGTGCAGGCGTTCACCCCCCCCCCCCTTCACCACATCTCCGCACGCGGTGTGCGGCACCGTGATTCGAGGTTAGCTCCGTGTGTAGCGGGGAGCGGTGGTGTCGCGGTTAGCGCCGCTGCGCATTGAACCCGGCGACCCGAGTTTCATTCCCACTCTCGGCCAACACCAGTGACGATTATATTATCTGAACCGGTCCTGGGCCTCCCCTAGGTCGACTCAGTCTCAAATGAGTACCTGGTGTGGTGTGTAAACGTCACCACAGGGGAGACAAAAGCGGCCGGGCGTGATGTTGGCAACTCACCCACTCGTGTGCCGTGCCGGCCTTCATAGCTACTCGCTAACAGCACTTGCCCCACCAGTCTGTTCAGGCTACGCGGGGTGTCTTTGTCTTTGTCGAACTTCCTTGGCACCGTACGTAGCCAACCGTGGTAATCGGAGGTGCGGGGTCACACCTGTGAGCAGACATTACGGTCGCAACGATTTGCTCTTCCCGATTCAATCGGTTGTCACCGTTTGTCGTCGTGATTCAAGGCAGGAAGCACGTTTTAGTTTTTTTTTGCATTTTGTTAAATGTAGCGGCCTCTAGTGGCTGGCGGGGGCGCTTGCGTATCGTGCGTCGATCGATATTAGTCGATGGAATTTACTCGTTGGAATGTCATGCAATGAGTCGTGGATCACAATTGTTACATGCAGCAAAAATATTAATTTACAGTTATTGCAAATTATATGTTACAAAGAGAATAATGCAGAGCACATGAAACTTAATTAAAGGTCATTTAAAATTAATTTTAATGTCAGACAATGTGCAACACACAACGTGTGTATACTGTAACTTGATTAGTTGTCTTTGGGTTCAATTAATGTTGCGCCTTAGTCCAAGGCGCTTTACAACAATAACAAAATTGTACATTAGATAGTGGTTAAAATAAAGAGTGGGGTTATTAAAAGTGGTGGTGTAGTTATGGTGACAGATCAGAATCGGAAGGATAGCAGTAAGAAGGATAGGAGGAGGGGTTAGGATAGTGATAGAGGTTGGGGAAGTGATCCGAGTTGGTATGGTGATAGGATACTGATTGGGGTTGGGGTAGTGATAGTGGAAGGGGTAATGGTAGGGTTTGAGGTAGTGAATAGGGGTTGAGGTAGTGATAGGGATAGTGATAGCGGTAGGGATAATGATAGAGGTTGGGGTAATGATAGGGGTTGGGGTAGTGATAGGGGTTGAGGTGGTGATAGGGGTTGTGGTAGTGATAGGAGTTGTTGTAGTGATAGGGGTTGAGGTGGTGATAGCGGAAGGGGTAATAATAGGGCTTGAGGTAGTGATAGGGCTTGAGGTGGTGATAGGGGTTGAGGTGGTGATAGGGGTTGAGGTGGTGGTAGGGGTTTGAGTAGGCCTGGTCGTTGCTGGGGCTCCGGGGCAGGGAGTAGCAGTTGGGGCAAGCGAGCAGAGATGGGGGTTGTTTTGAGTCGCGTGCTCACAGGGACACAGGCAAGCCTGGCTTGGGTTTGCCTTCAGCCGATTCTCCGTGTGGTTTACGTCTTGTTGCCTTGCAGGACCTGCTGCGATGCCGAGTTCTGACTTCGGGGATCTTTGAAACCAAGTTTCAGGTGGACAAGGTCAACTTCCAGTAAGTCGTGGACGCAGCTCGAGAAACGCCGCGAAGCGTCGCGAAGCGCCGTGAAGCGTGCGCCACAACAAGCGACTGCGTGGTCACGAGTGTGTATCGGCGCCCGTCTGGCTCGATGAAAATATCAGAATCTTCATATATCCCGGAGGAGTCTGATGAGCTATGAAGCTCTTTTTCACAGATGTCCAGGAGGGGGCAGGTCAGAAGAAGCATTGTACAGATTGTAAATGTTGTGGATTTGTTCTCCAATACACCGGTGTGCTGTACTAGTAACGAATTGGCACGTTCTGTTAACATGACAAGCCTTACCAATTGGCTGTGTCGGGTGGTGCCGGGTTTAGCGACACATTTATATTTACACGATCGAACCCAAAGAAAAAAAAGCTATATTATGGACAGTTCACCTACGTAGGCCGGGGATGAAGAGTAGAAGGCGTGGTCTTGTTTTATTGCTTCTTAACGAAATCAATTTACCCGCCGATGTGTTTGCGGTGTCGTCGGCACTGAGTTACCGACCCTCGGCGAGTAAGGAGCGGGTAGTAATGTAACAGGTGTTCGTGTAAGGGTATCTTATTTACACGACGTGGTTTTTCACGGTTGTGCTGTACAGTTCTCCAGTGTGTTTTTCCGGTCCGTACCGTGCGTTGTTTGGCACGATGTCCGACGTTTCACTCCACGTGCTGCAAGAGGGCTGAATGTTCAGTTCCTGAACAAGAGCTGTATTCAATTCATATTTGCACAAGCCCGGTTAATTCGCAACTTGTGTAATCTGTCCAATGGATATCAGAGAGTTAACTATAACCCTTTGTATCGTACATAGCAAACCGTGATTATCAGAGGTGCGGGGGAAGGACAACAAACTAAACACAAAAATCAGTTCTAAAGAAATGTGTTTTCAAGCTAGATTTAAAAGTGCATAGCTCCAGTGGCTTCCTAATATCGGAAGGAAGAGCGTTCCAGACGGCCGCAGAAAGCGCATTTGAAAGCGCCGCGCGATGCAGTGACCGTCTTTGTTCGATGGCCAGCAAAAAGCCGCTGCTGCGAGGATGACCGGAGTTTGCGCGATGGTTTTATGCTTGTTGACGAGATCAGCAAGGGATCGTGGTTCATTTGTGGCAAGCACTTTATATGTAATGAGTGACCGATGGATTTCTAGAGATTTTAACTGAACTCTGTCTCCGCAGCATGTTTGATGTGGGAGGTCAACGGGACGAGAGGAGAAAGTGGATCCAGTGTTTCAACGGTAAGACAACCCTCCGCTCGTGGCTACTCGAGCAAAACTATTCTAAAGTTCCTTTCGGGATTGTAAGTGTTAACACCCCAATTGTATACGGCGTCCAAGACCCAAGTGATGCGAATCAATTTGAGCGGATGAATCGGCGGCGCATTATTGCATGCCTAGCGAACGCCCTTACCAGTCTTTTAGCTTCGGGGGGCCGAAGCGATAAAACATTTGGCGCGGGGCAAGTGCAGTGCCTCCTAATGTTTTGGATAAAATAGCTGATTTATTAAAGAGATCTCGGACTTAGTTCTGCGATATCTTTTTCTGCGGACCATTCTCTTAACTCGCGGGGTGATGCAGCCGCCGCTGCGTGAGAGTTCCGAATGCACGTATGTACGTTGAACTTCTTTCGCACCATACGTAGCCAACCATGCTAATCGGAGGTGCGGGAGAAGGACAAACAAACCTAACTGCAAAATAAAAATAATGGACGCTCCGCTCGCGACGTGACGTCGATAGCACAATCAGTATGGAATTGGGGAAAAGAGTCAATGTGTAAATTGTTACACTCCATACATGCATGCATGCACATTTCATGTGTCCGCAACGTATTGTGAATCGTAGGAAGATGACCATTTCTTTGAGAATAGTTGAAAGGTTATAATGCTAACGGCTTTTTCGTGTACACGCACGTGCAAAGCTCTCTGATTGAATAGTCACTGTTAGGGATCATGATTCGATTTCATACATTTTTGTGCCTGCAGGAAGTTGAGTGAGACTATTATATTTGAAATATACATGTTAGAAAGTAATTAATTATTGCTCGGACAATTTAGTGTACGTATTGTGAGCATAAGAAATTTAGATCTTAATCTGTGGATCATTGCATACCCACAAAGTACATTGAAACAAATACGGACGGTAAAATTTGTGAATTTGTTTTTTGTCCGCATACATCCATTTGGCCCATAATCGTTTTTACATTTGTAAATATTCAGGCAAATTTAAAAATATATATTTAATTCAGTGGTGAGATTCCACTCGCGAACACGGCTTTCTCAAACCGTAATGAATGATAACCGAGCAATTACTCCATCACTACTGGACACCGACCGGTGTGGTGAAATCTGGTCAAACCGCAACCCCCATGACTACCATGGCTTTGGTAGTCCATTCTTCAGCAGTGGATTGACAATATAAGACTGTGCCGGGTGGGGAGGTGGCAGGGAGCAGATTGTACAGTCCCTTTTGTTTGTTCCTCTGCTGGATGAAGGCTACCCCACAATGTGCAGGGGTCATTGGCGTTGTTTGACCAAAGTTTCTAATTGTGTTTGGCGAAGGCAGGGTGCACAGACGAGGAAGCATAGAAGTATGGTACAACAATGGGATTTACTGCATTGCCCCCTCTGCTGGCCACTACGTACCCCCACAGCCTATAGAAAACCTATGGTGCATGTCGGTCACCCATCCAAAGCACTATCCATATTCATATCCTGATTAGCTTCCAAGATCTAAACCGGTGCGATCCCGATTGATTTGGCCATTGGCTGTAGATTGCATACGCCTTGTCATTATCAACTTTGCGCACCCAGTGGACAGACAAGTTGGTCATCAAAGTGCCATAAGTTGATGGGCGCTGTTCCTGGTGTGTCTTTTTGAGATGAGCATGCGTTCAGAAGGTTCCATTTCCTTTCAACACCAACCCTCCCCCCCCCTTTCATCCCCATTTCCCCCTCCATGCAGATGTCACAGCCATCATATTTGTGGTGGCTTGCAGTGGCTATAACATGGCACTGCGCGAGGACCCCAGTGTTAACAGGCTAAAAGAGGCCCTTGACCTCTTCTGCAATATCTGGAACAACAGGTAACTGAACTGTGCTTCCCCCCCCCCCCTGTCCTTCCGCTGACACTAACTCTGTTTATCTCTCTCTCTCTGTTGCCCCCCTTATCTTCCCCCCCGCCCCCCTCCAAAAAAACACCTCGTTTTTATGCCGCCTTCACCACCACCAAAACACTCCCTTATTCCACTCCTCCACACTCTTATTTCTCTCACACGTCCCATCCTCATTTGTTGCCATTCACTCTGTTTCCCGTGTTTCCGTCGCCCGGCGTTATTTTCGATCGGTTCATCATCCATCGACGTATTTGCCGTTCCTCCACCACTCGCGCGTCACACCCCCCTGTGTCCACCGTGTACTCCACCACTCGCGCGTCACACCCCCCTGTGTCCACCGTGTACTCCACCACTCGCGCGTCACACCCCGCTGTGTCCACCGTGTACTCCTCCACGTGCGACGTCCCGTTGTGAACTCTTCCGCCGCCCGCCGCGCCTCCCTGCTGCTGCCGCCTCCATCATCGCCACCGCTTGCTTTTGCCTGTGCCGTATTTAAATCGCGCGCTGCGTCGTAACGCAACCAAAACCCCCCGTCCCCCATGCACGCGTCCTCTCGTGCTCGTGGTGTCCCCCCGCCCCCCCCCCCCCCCACCGTCACCGCACTCCACGCGACCCCCGCGCGATAGACGTTACAGCGATCATATTCGTAGTCGCGTGCAGCAGCTACAACATGGTTCTGCGCGAAGACAACACCACGAACCGCCTCAAGGAAGCCATCAACCTGTTCAAGAGTATTTGGAACAACAGGTAACGCCGGTGGTGGACTCGGCAAGCCGATCGTCACCAGCAGGACCCCGCGCCCACCGCGGAGAGGTTGGGGGGGAGGGGGGGGCTGGGGCCTTTCTGCCAGCGGCAAGACCTCGTGTGCGCGTGCGGCGGCGCCGGAGTTGCACGTCGGGCCAAGTCCACGGGGTTGGCGAACGTCCGTCTCGGTGTTTTTTTTCCTCCCTCTCTTCTTCAGAGGCAGTGGTAGAAATTCGTGGGGTTTTGTGTTCGTGGCCAGCCAATAGTGGGGCGCGTACTGCAGAGCCCCGATGTGTTTCGTCGGTTTCGTCAAGATGCGAATCTGGCCGACAGCGTTTGTATTTGACCTTAGCTGTCGTTTTCTTTTTTAACAGTTAGTCGGGGCACATTTTATGAAATGCTGCGTGTGCGCGCGCAAATTGTGTTTGTGAAGTTCTCAGCCGTAATGTGTCGAGGCAGTGCGGTTATTTGACCATTTGGCTAATGCACTGCATATCAATTATCGGGCACCTTTGAAAAGTTTTTACTGCCCGTTGCATATCAGAAAAAATATATACCATATTATATTTTAAATAATTATTAACAGCCCTTGTCAATTTACTTCTGGGTGAAAGCCTCCCCGCATTGCGTCAGTCGGGGGGTGTTTGACCATACTTCACCATGCTGGTCATTTGGTGAAGGGTGGAGGGGCCAGCGTCGGTTCCGATACCACTCGCCACTTCTATTAGCCATGGCCAGGAATCGAACTCCAGAATGTCGGGTTCAGAGGGCAGCGCACAAACCCTTGCGCGACTGCTCCATCCCAGAATCGCATTTAGCATTCCGTACGCGTGCGCTCACTGACGAAGACAACGGAGTGAGAACTGAAAGTGTGCAAAGGAGCATGGGGAGGTGCTGGCATGGAATTCCCCTTCGCAGAGGCAAACGAGAGCACAGATTGGTGAACAAATGTAAATTAGAGGCATCGTATTGACACTTGAGTGAGTGAGCCGGGGCAGGTGGTGGCTGGTGAGCGAGACTAGCGATGGATGTAGGGTGACGGGACACGCCCACCGTGTGGAGATGGAGCGATGAAATCGGCTCGTGTGCAGGAGCGAGATGGGACCGCTGCGTCGTTTTCCCCGCACACCTCCGATTAGCACGGCTGGCTACGTACGGAGCGAAAGAAGTTCAACACGCATCACCGTAAAGGCCGAGTTTGGGAGGCCTTCATCCGGCAGTCGGCGTTGCGTGGCCCGATGATGACGACAATAAACGCGGATACATTTGCAGCAAAGTGCATACGCGTCCACGCAGACTCGTGCTGTTAATTCCTCGGTTCAAATCAGCGGTTGTCGGATCAGTCCCGAGAGAAATTCGGCTTTTGCACGGGTAACATTGACTCGACGTGCACTATGGCCTCTGACCCCCGCCCCCACGGGTGCTGCCGTGTCCTCCTGCACCCTTTTTCTGCAGGTGGCTCCGAACCATCTCGATCATCCTCTTCCTCAACAAGCAGGACCTCCTGGCGGAGAAGGTGCTGGCGGGAAAGTCGCGAATCGAGAAGTACTTTCCAGAGTTTGCGCGGTACACCACGCCAGCCGAAGGTACACACAAGGGCCACACGACACTGGTACCCGCTGAACTTGGTTTACGGTTGAAATTTCCCTCGGACGTGGATCTGGGGGCGCTTGTCAGACTCCGAGCCGGGGGACAGCTTAGAGCGCCAAGCTGGCGAGATGTTTACGACCTCGCCTGGTATACAGGAGGTTGCGAGTTCGATCCTGACCCCGACGCCTGTTGTATATTTGGAGTTTGCATGTTTGGTTTCCTCGTGGTCGCGTGGATTTTTCCCCGGGTCCTCTGGTTTTTTTTCCACATTTAGAAACGTGCATGTAGAGTATTTGGCTACTGCTATCAATTTCCACGTGATAAGCCACTTCATCGAGCTATCGTTTGTGGCCAGGTCGCTTCTGAAAAAGAGCTATATAGTTCAGTGGGCCTCACCTGCTAAAATAAAAAATAGTTTATAGTTTTTTTATAGATGAAGCGTTCAAATCCGGGTTTTTCGGCCGTACATGATTAAGCAAGTTTCTTACGTATGGCGAGTTACTCTTGTTAGATATAAGCGTTGCCATTGGCTTTTCACAACCTATTCAACAATGACAGCATAGTTAGCCGGGCAGCTGTGGCACACACGCCTCTAGTCCAGCACCGTGGAGGTCAGGGGTTGGTGAATCACCGCACAGATGTTCTGTGAAACTCCCTTCTCGTGAGCGTCGACGAGGTTGCCGTGGACCCGGGCTCGCCAGGAGAAGGCGGTACACCAAAGTGCGGACTCAAATAATTTTGTCCCATCTGTATGGAATGTTTGTGTTTCCCCCCCTTGGCACCCATAGGTTTTTTTCTGGCTCCTCCGGTTTCCTGCCTCCCTCATTTAAAACACTCATTAATGATCCGAAAACATGTTTTTATATTTAGTGGGAGACAAAGGACTTGCAGAGCTTGGGAAATTGATGGCATCGGTTCACTGCTCGGCCTGCTGCTTTCTCCGCTTGTCCGTGGATCCTCCTCGGACCTCCTCCGAGTCATTGTCTGTCTCTCTCTCTCTGAGAGTGAGTGAATGCCACGTGGCGCGTTACAAAGTTGAAATTATAATAATTTAGGTTTTTCACTTTAAATTTCTCACTTCCGATTAGCACGGTTGGCTACGTACGGTGCGAAAGAAGGTTGACATACAAACTGCACATATCATGGGTCTGACACTGTTTGAGACTAGGCTCAAAAGTTTCAAAGACAATGCATATACTGTCAGATCATTTTTTTGTTTGCATGTTCACAAGTATGTGTGATTAATGCAGACATGCTTCCTTGCAAAAGGGTTCTGTTGAGTGTTTTAACATCTTAACACGTGTTTTATTGCCAGAAAGGGTAAAATCTATTCTTATATTGTACGAAATTTAATTAAATTCCAGCGCAGAGATCGAACAAATTGTCAGTTTGATTGCTGCTTGACAACGCCTCTTCTAGCAAGGCATGTGTGGAGGTGCAGCGACACCTAGTGACGATAGGAAGCAATTGAAGGGACCTCCAATTGAAGGGACCTCCATAAGGAATGTGCAGGCACATCCCTTGATATACGTAACGGGTAGGTTACTGAAAAGTTGTCTCGAAATTCCGTGCATGGAATCCTATTTTCCCATAATACAGGTTTTATTGTGTCGTTAAACCCACTACCACCCGACACAGCCAATTAGTAAGGTTTGTCATGTTAACAGAACATGGCAATTCATTACGAGTACAGCACACCGGTGTGTTGGAGAGCAAATCCACAAAATTTACAATCTGAGTATGACGTTTCGCCAGTACTTACAACCGGCATCATCAGGCGGCAGCCAGATTTGCATTGAATTCGTTCCCCAATGCATAAGTTACGCTCCAGCGAAATTCCGTACTTTGAGTTGCGGTGTAACGAGGAATGGCTGTAGATCTGTAACGTCATTCCAGCAGCAGTTCTCGCTAAACACAGAGTGGTGCACTGTGTTTCTGCGAATTCTGAACAGAGCTTTCATAATCTAATGGCGTGATGCCAAGAGCACAGTTGTACTGTTACTAGTACACAAAGTACCGTGACATTTGAAGGTATATAACGAGCCATATAACCACCCAGTGATCTCATCATCGGCAACGGTATAGGCTACAAGTACGTATGGTGCTGCGTGTGGTCAATTCACTGTTGGATAAAGGCTTTCCCATGTGTTTGTTTGGATCTTGGCGGTACTTTGTATGTGTGTATGTTGAACTTCTTTTGCACCGTACATGGGCAACCGTGCTAATCGTAGGTGCGGGTTGAAGGACATGGAAAACAACAATAAGACAGGGAATACGGTCGTAAATAATAATCAAGGTTTTGTTGTTATTGTCCATCTCCCCCTGAATCAGTGAGCCCTGAATTGGGCGAAGATCCGCAAGTGACGCGAGCGAAGTATTTCATCCGGGACGAGTTCCTGGTACGTGCCCCCCCCCCCCCTGCAGTCCGAACTAACGGGCGTCAGCGGTGCCTCAAGCGCACCCACACCGGCGCGGCGCAGTGCGTTCAAATTTATAATGTCGAGCCTCTGTTGCTGTTTTTTAAACGTCGACTAAAATTTTGCCTTCTGACCGAATTACTAAAAGTAATCTGCCATACTTTACCACGCTGGTTAGTGCGGGTTGGTGAAGGACTCGTTTAGGTATTGCTCGCCACTGATGCGAGCCGGAGCTGGGAATCCAACTCGGCTTTTGTCGGGTTTACAATGCAGTGCGCACCAACCACCGTGCCACCACTTCGCCCACCACTTCACCCACCCCACATAGTTATAACAATAAATAACGATGTACAGGCCTTTGTCAATCCACTGCTGGATGAAGGCACTCCCCCATGCTGTGTCAACGATCCAGAATAGTAAGTCCTCATTTAACGCGGTAGATGCGTTCCTGCAAAGTGCCGCGTGAAGTGAAAAACGCGTAAAGCGGAAACGAGTTTCCCCATAAATAATTCTGACGGTAAAATTTGACGAGATACGGTGAACGCACAAGCGCAGTGAAATGGCGGGACAAATAACTGAGGGTACACCGGCGCGTTGCCTCATCGTTCCGCGTACTGTATCCTACCACTCAGCCGTGCAGCTCAAGAAAGTAGTTAGTCTTCGCCCGCGTCATAACGGCGCACTTGGCGTGATACAGCGCGTGGCGCATTTAGCGTTACAACGGAGTGCGCGTTCCGCATCGTGCGGTTGCAACATGAACACGCCGCCGCGCGTTAAGCGACCACTCGCCGTCGAAGCGATTCGCGTGCGTCTGTTTTGTTCGCGTGCTCATTTGCTGACGCCCTGTGGCTTTTCTTTGCCCACGCAGCGCATCAGCACGGCAAGCGATGACGGCCGCCACTACTGCTACCCGCACTTCACGTGCGCCGTCGACACGGAGAACATCGGGCGCGTCTTCAAGGACTGCCGCGACATCATCCAGCGCATGCACCTGCGCCAGTACGAGCTGCTCTGATTGGTCGAACGAACCGAACGGGGATCCTACGCGCAAAAAGAAAATGTTTTCGAATGGCGGCGGCGGCAACGGTAAACGACGACAAAAAAAAAATTAAAAGTTACAAAAAAAATTGACGGCTGTAAACAATCGCCGAGAACGAATTGGAAGAGGAGTAACTTGGCGAGTTCGACTGGCTCGGTTGCGCCCGTTTTGCTGTTCGGCCAAAAAAAAAAAAACGAGAAGACTAAACCAATAGTTGCTTCGACTACAGCGGAACGCGTGAACAGCGGGGAACGCTCTGAACAATGCCCCGTCCATTAACGAACACTCACTTTTTCAGCCCTTTATTATTTCAGTTTTGTCGTTGCAGACATGAGCACATTGTCTTGGGACAGTGAAGGTGATGGACGTCGAAGCCAGTTTCCGGCTGTGGGGGGTGCCATTTCTTAGCTGCTCAGAAGAACGGGGCACCGCAAGATGTCTGCGTCACACTTTCCTGATTGTTGATTACTCACAGGAAACGATTTGCGACGAGAAACCGCAGGAGTAGAAATCGTTGCGACGTGGACTGGGAACTTCACCGTTTCAAATCCGCATTTCCAAATTACGTTGCGTCGCCCGTCCAATTTTTCTGCTCGGACAGATTTTCTGCATGTCTAATCAAAAAGGCTGCGAAGCGTCATCTTTGCCACGGGCGTGATGATTTTTGTCGTGGGTTGGTGTCGAGATTTCACCTCCCACGGTGTACGACGCTGCTGTGTACACACGAAGGGTTTTTTGTCCCGGTGGACTTTTGGGTCGGCGACACTGAATTGGCCGGGCTTGCTCTTGTTCACTGCAGGGTAGAGATGACAAATCTGTCGACTGGGGCTGTCTTCAAAAACAACCCAACAACAACAACAACAACGGTAACACGAAGATTATGGCTGGACATTGCGATCGAAAGGAGAAATGGTCCCATTTTTTTTTATAATCGTTTACTATATTATTACGGAACTTCAAAACTACAAAGATGTGTGTCGTCGCAAAGTTCGCAGCAGGTAGAGCAACCAATATATGTCAAAGTGGCGAGTTGTGCCTGTGTGTACGCGCATGCCTATGCGCACGTACCCGCGCATCACGTTAAGTGCAGTTTTGCGGATTAAACAAAAAGTTTGACAGATGAAAAAAATTAACGGCTCGACAACCAACAACAACAGCGGCAAGCCTGCACAGAAAAAACGATGATCGCTCGAAACGTTCACACGAAACCGATACCAAACGCGCGCCGGAGCGACGCGTGCAGAGGGACGCGACGCGGGCTGGCGCCGTGACACCGACGCCTGGAAGTGTGGGGGGGGGGGGGGGGGCGCCACGCGAACCGAGACTCCGCCCCCGAGGACCACTCCCGCGGACCACTCCCGCCGCCAGCACCCAGCACGTGCTCGCACCATCGCCGCCGCCACCGCCGCTCGCGCTCACCGATCACTACAGAGAACTCTCGCGCTTTATTTCGCTGAATGGTTTTGAGAATAAGCAGCAGCCACCACCCCCCCCACCCCACAAAGCAAAGGGCTATGCGTATTGACGGTTGATCTTATGGGTTTTTTTGTTTGTTCTTCAGTTGCATTTCCCGTTTTTGTTGCCGATGTTTTTTTTGTACGCTCTGTCCCGCAAGCACATGCTTTCCGTGGAGGTGCGGTCGCCCGCATCGGGCGCGGTGCGACCGCTCCGACTTCGGTGCAACGGACTACTTAGAAATCCCCAAACGCAGCTACTCGATGCGACGGCGTTGTTGTTCGTCCCTGTGGAGGGGTGGGGGGCGTGGCGGTGTCGTCCCTGCGATGCAACGGAGGAGAGTGGAGGGACAGACGTACACCTTGGCGGCCGAAGAGGTTCAAGCGTGAGCACGGGGGGGGGGGAGACATTTTTTTTTACATTTTTCCCCACTGAAGAAGCCGAGCCGTGCTGCCGACTTTGGGTGCAATGTAACTAGTGGAGACGCAAGCGGACGATGCGACCGCGTGCAATTATCGCGTCGTTAGCCTCCCCCCCCCCTCCACCCCCCACCTTCACCCCGCCACCCCGCCACCCCTGGGCCTGCTTTGCCCCGAGCCAGATGCGGATGTCTTGTGGGGTCATCGTTGCGACGATTTGTTTCCGGCTTGGCGTTAACAAAATTGGCCAGTGGGGGAAAAATAAAAACACGTACCATTGAGGGCCCCCCCCCCCCCTTCACCGCTGGCTCAGCTTATTTGTGCCGGTAAAAGCGGGGGGGGGGAGTATTACTCGTCTCCACGCCAACTCCCGGAGCTTAATTTCTCGCCGAACTATTTCCATGCCGCCCGGTAGACCGGAGCGGGCAGCACGGCGACAGGGCAGCATCCTCGGCCACGGCGAGTAACGGGAACGTCGCGTCGCTACGCTGAGGGTTCGGCTTTCCCTGGGTCGCCGCTCACGCGGACAGAACCCGGCTTGAAGTGAAGCCCTGCCCGAGAGCCGCGTGGCCCGCCACAGCCAGCCCCCCCCCCCCCCCCTCCTTGCTGCGTTCTAAGCACCGCGACCATCACCACGAGCTCGGGATGTGTGCAGACACCAATAGCCAGTATCAAAAACCACGACACTTGTGAGCCAGAGTGAATGCAAGCGGTGTGGCCCCCACCTCCCCCCCCCCTCACCCCACATGTTTCATAGTCTAGATGCACCACTGTGTCCAATAAGCTTGCAGCCAAATAAGAAAAGAAAAAGTATATTGGCACAGTATTGAAGTATATATATAGAGATGCGCGTATTATGTGGAACGATCTAAAATAAAAAAGCGACGCATTGCTTCGTCACTAACGCAAATGAAGGACACGGTAAACATATCCTTTTTGCGTTTAAGCAAAACATCTTAAAAATAATAATATGACATGGTTGATTTGATTACTCGATCTCTAAAGCAGCAAACGAATGCACACACAGACACATCCTGTGTATATATATGTGTGTGCGTGCGCGCGCGCGCGTCGTGCCGTTACTTTTGTTTTTGTGTGTCAGCACTTAAAGCGGAACCCCCCCGCCAGGCCGTGTGCTCCTCCGCGCTTTGTGCCACAGCCGCGTCGCAGGGACGACGGCGACGCGCGTCGACAATCGGGTCACGCCGACGATGTTTTGGGTGCACGTGGTCGTGGCGGGCGGTGGGCTTTGCGGGAGGGTGGGAAGGGCATTTGGGGCGATCTGCTCTGAACGAGAGGGGGGCACGGAGCAGGTCGGCACTGCGCCTTGTCGGTGGCCCATCGTGCGGCTTGGCCCGCCGCATCCCTGACGACGGGTGACGATGTTGCAATGCAGTCCGCTGGTGGGGATCGGTACACGGAGTCAGCAGCGCCACTGTAAGCGCGTTCCTTGTGCTCACAGATGTCCTCGCGTGGCGATATTGGCGCAGTTATGCAAAGCACACACACACTCCCTCAGCTGTATTAGTTTTGATTTTCATGATCATCACGTTTAAGTCTAGAGGGGCGCGGCGGCGGCGGGGGGGGGGGGCAGAAGTTTCAAAAGCTGCCGTGATATAAAAGTTTAAAAACCCCGCTATCGCACTTTGGCAATAAGCCAGCTTGCGAGACGCGGCAATCTCGCCTGTCAGTCGTCGTTGTCATGATCATCATCGTCGTCGTCGTTGTTATTAATCCGAGTATCAGGCAGCCATGGGCGAGTTGGTATTAAATTCTCAAGTCACCGAATGTAAAAGGCACTTGTTGTGTCTGCGTGTTACGCCTGCGCGCGCGCTCTCTCCGCTGCTGTATTCCGCGTAAGAAGACAGATTTGGTCTACGACTCTACGTGTACTGATGTATAGTGTTGCCGACCACACGTTACCCTTATAATTATTATGATAACAATACGACAGCTGTGACATTAAAATTGAACAATTTGCGCAATAGCCAATGCCATGATGCTCTGTATAAAGCCGCAAACACTAAATGTCCATAAAAAGCAGTTACGTCATAGGGTTTTCAATATTGAGAGGAATGGTTAACTGTTTAAAAAAATATATATATGCTAAGAAGGTGTGTACAAAAAAAGTGGGATATTGTATAAAATTACGGAATTCTGCCTTGTTTAAATAACGCCGGTGTCGCGTTTGTTTCGCGTGTCGTCGGGGTGAGGTTGGCTTTGATTGTGTTGCTATTGGGTGCGATTGTGACCAGCAGCCATATGAGAATATTCATACATCGAATCAGCATCATCATCATTGGTTCACTGCAGCTCCAAGACTCGGTAGTGCGCCCCTACTTGGCGTGTGCTGAAGTGTGGAGATGCCCCGTGAGTGTGAGTGTCAGTGTGAGTGTGTGTGAGAGTGATGGAGAGTGTGTGAGAGTGTCGGTGTGAATGAGTGTGAGAGAGTGAGAGTGTGTTAGTGTGTGAGAGTGTAAGTGTGTGTGAGAGTGATTGAGTGTGTGTGAGTGAGAGAGAGTTGTGATTGAGTGTGTGTGTGATTGTGTGTGAGTGAGTGTGTGAGAGTGATTGAGAGTGTGTGAGAGTGATTGAGTGTGTGTGAGTGTGTGAGAGAGAGTTGAGTGATTGTGAGTGTGATTGTGTGTGTGAGTGAGCTCGGCTGAAGACCAGAATCGGTGATGTCGCCGACAGTGCGTTCATGGGGGATGAAGTTTCATATCCGGACAGCAGAGTGAAGAAGTTGAAGAAAGAAGAAGAGGCGACCTTCAAGCCCAGGGAGCAATGTTCTGGCACGGCCTTCTTCATATGGGGGTGCAAGCATGGACTGAGTGTCTGTGGGAGGAGCGGTGGGGCAGTGGTTGGTGAGCAATTTGTGCAGGCACTGTGACAGCCGAAACTCGTCGACGGGGTGTCCGTTGTGCGAGCGAAGGGCGATGCACGCGTTGACGCTTTTCGCTGTCCGGGTTCATTTTCAGAGGGGAGGGGGGCTGTAGGGGCACTTTCACCGACAAGACATCAGGGTGAGGGCCGCCACACCATCCGAGCGAACCTACCTACTCACTCCCTCTTCGTTGTGGCTGACAGTGCTGTGCAAGCATACATTTGTTTTTGCATACTGTCACCTACTGATGTGGTGATGTTACTTTCATTCTGCGCGTTGGAACACTCTCACTCGTGAGGAACCATTGGGTTGGACAGCACGATGGGGGGATGATTTCATATTTGTGTTTGGGTAGCTGCAGTGCCAGTGGCCCCTAGGGTCAGATGGGAAATTGATGTGGATCGCTAAATGTCCACCGCCGGTCGCTCAGTACTCCATCGGATGGGCTGTGTGTCCACTTTCGGCCGTAGCAACAGTTGCGAGAGGGGGGACATTTCAGACTGAACAAGCCCACATTCGCCTCTCCCGAGTTGAAATGTCGCCCACTCGTGAAACAGAACTGGCTTGCCCCGACTTGCCGTCGCGTGGAATTGTATTCCCAGGCGCCCCCGAACGTGCGCTCCCTGTGTGGCAGGCGGAGTATTTAATTCTGTTTAGACTGCAACGCAGCCACTCACTCGCAGGGACTGGCCGTCAACACCACGTCCGCCCCCCCCCCCCCCCCCCCCATTGCACCACTGCACACTCAGGTTGACTTTCAGGGGGTCAAATAAAAATGCATGCTGCACTCCTGAACCAAAGGTGACCCGAGTTCGATTCTCGGCCAGTGATACCTGTGCCCACCCCTCTCTGCACAAACAACGCTGACCAGCGTGGTGAAGTATGTCAAACAACCCCTGTGATTGCCATGCCATGAAACAGTCCAGCAGCCGAATGACAAAAGGCTCATATACACGTAATTAAGATATTCTAGATTTGAAGCTTTCGTGACTGCAAGGATTCATACTCTTAGTTATTTTCGGTAAAGTCACGTAGGTAAAAAAATAAATATTTTTTTTACTAAAAGTAATAATAGAAATAAAATAATAAATCACGACGTTTCGGAGGCAACACAAGTCTCCGTCATCAGGTGGGACCTACGTGACTTTACCGAAAAAACCTAAGAGTATGATTAAGATATATTTTAATCAAATATCACAATCGGGACGCCACAATGTAACATTACCAAATTTGATCAAGTGCGTGTGCCTTTGTGGGCTCTGAAGAATCCTCGCTGCCTGAAACGCTAGCGCGTTGGTCGTGAAATAGTTCGTGTTATTTCAACGTTAACTTTGTAGCGTTTCCCCGCTTTCGGCTCAATCGCGTTTTTGGGAGCGGCGTCACTTGCTTGGACGATGTTCATTGTAGACTTCCTCGCGGCGGTGATGAAGAGTGGATCATCAAGGTCCTGCAAAGAGCGTGGGCGACTATTTTTTTCCCATGCTAAGATGAAAAAATTAACCCGTAGAAACAAAGTTTTTCACTATAAATCCTTTATATGCGTGGCGGCTAGAGTCCTCTCGTCCTCTGGCTTGAGATGGCTGCCACCTATGGGTCAGATGATTGCTTGGCACCATTACGCAATTGGTAATTACATATACTTTTTTGCTCCTAAAAAGTGTAAAATTTTGGAGAAAAAAATTTCACGAAAATTAATTGTCACGCACAACGAGTCTGTGTGCAAAATGTCAGCTCGATTGGATCACGGGAAGTGGGTTAAAAAACGACCGAAAGATTTGCACGGTCCTAAGCAAGTGAACTTAATATAAAGGATTTAAAAATACAAATCAACCGAAAAGCCTCACTTCATTGTTTTTTTCCTTACGTCATTGGCGACGGAGGTGACGCAATAAAAACTCACCTAACTTGAGATCCCGGATTCATCACGTTGCGGCTGCAACTCAAGATTCTGTAACCCAGGTCTTGGACTCGAACCCAGCTCTCGACCCTCATGTGCAGGGCGCGTGACGGAAGTTGACCCCGCACGGGGCGAAGTGGCCACCACTTTGGCGCCTGGCGGCACAGCGTGAGCCCAAACAGAGCGGGGTCCAGGGTCATGTGTGCACACACGTTACGTTGAACCCATCGCGGTCGACCCATACGGTTCAACCACGTGTTCTTATGCAGGGAAATTGAGTTTGCAGGTCCGTACGGCGTTACTGCCGATTCGATACGGGCTAAAACAAGTGTCTCCCTTGTGATGGGACTTTGTAGGATGAACGTTGAGATTCATAAGGGCACGGGGTGATCAATGAGGCTTGAATTGGTCTAATAAAGTAGGCACTGATAATGGGTTGACAGGTTTGTTAAACCTCTTTCGCACCGCACATAGCCAGCCGCGCTCATCGGAGGTGCGGGGGAAGGACAGACGAACCAAACGCAAAAAAATAATTTCTCCATAAACTAGTGTTCAATCTATAGATTTAGAAGTGCATAGCACCAGTGGCTTCCGAACATTCCTCCACACCTTTACTTACCTTGGCGCACACCCCACGTTGTGTGTCTGGACCCCGACACTTCGCTGTGTTTCGAGTCGAGCTGTGGGGTTTTCCGCTAACTCTCCAACTTTACCGGGCCCATGCAGGAAATGCGATTTTCAGAGCGACACCCGAGTGCACGAACTGTCGTGGGTGCCAATCGTCGCGTTTCCCCCACACACACACAACACATTCCTGCGGAAGGAGCTGGTAGGAACGTTGGGTTGCTCGGTCAATGGCCAGGGTCAACGGCGACGTGGTGTATTCCGCAAATATGGCCCACTGAGGGCGGGCACAAGCCGGCGTGAGTAGGTTAAACGTTGAGTTTTATAAGGGCACCACGGGGTGACCAGCTCCTCTCCACCCAGCCCCACCCTCACCACCCAGCCCCTCACCACCCTCCCCTCTCCACCCAGCCCGACCCCTCCCATTTTTGGATGCACGACGGACGGACGGACACAATAACCCCCTGTGGACTGGTAGAACCAGGTGGTTCCTTCCAGTATAACCCCTCTTGACCACAACGCTCTGTCATCCCGCAAACACACATCCACCAGGGACTTCACGAGAATGATCTTGAGCTGGGGCTATCAGATTAAGTAATCGATGGCTCTGCTCGAGTTTTATTACATTTTTTAGGCATGCTTTCAACGTTTATTCTTAATGACATTGTAAAATAAATATATATATAACAATGTCCACTGACAATTTTGCACGTTATATTCGACGTTGGGAAAACACGTACACATACATTCCTGCGGAGGGAGCTGGTAGGAACGTTGGGTTGCTCGGTCAATGGCCTGCAGGGTCAACGGCGGCGTGGTGTATTCCGCAAATATGCCCGACTGTGAGGGCGGGCACAAGCCGGCGCGAGTAGGTTAAACGTTGAGTTTTATAAGGGCACCACGGGGTGACCAGCCCCTCCCATTTTTGGATGCACGACGAACGGACACAATAATCCCGTGGGCTGGTGGAACCAGGAGGTGCGAAAGAAGTTCTCCATAGTTACAATGGACTGTTTAATCACCGATTGTACTCGTTTCAGTTAAATTTTGTGTTGAAACCAGCGCCAGTACAGGAGCGAGACGAATCGTTGTATTGCAGGACCATGAGATATGCAGGCGGTAGATTGAGGCCTTCATCCAGCAGATCATGGCCAATGTGTGATGCAAGCCCCGATTACTTTACATTCATTTGGCAAAACACTCAAATATATTTTTTATAATTTTTCTTAAAGCAGTTTTTAGCATATGCAAATATTGTGTACACACGAGTATAATAGCACGAGTATATATATTAATGCTCAGCATTATATATCATATATAGGAATGCATTTTAAACATGGCCTAAGCGCTTTACAGCTAAGCATTAGCCTACAATGTCAACATTTGCTGCCCTTAACACTTTTTTATTTACTTTCCTATTAACTACCGTTATAGTGCAATCACTCAAACGATCATAAAAATGTACCAGAGTCAAGAAAACACAGCAAAACAAAAACACCAATCCCAGCAGCCATCTGCTCATACACAACTTTAAGTGGAACAAATGGATTTTAATCACAGTCAAAATACATTACAACAAGAACATATCCAAGCTCTCTCTACCTGTGGAAATTACCCCGACATTTCCCTCTGGTCAGGAGGGTTGTCTTGTGGTTTAACATTTCACGCTGATACTATAAGTCCACAGCACGCTAACACAGTACAGTCATTTGCTCTGCACAACTCCAAACGCCAAATGTGCAAAAGTGATTACAAATGGGTGGCTTGGACTGGCCACTTGAAAATGGTTGTTTTTACTCACAAGCAAAGTTACTGTAATGTACAGACACGTCTGCCGTCCACTGGAAAAATAAATAACTTCAATCCATAAACTGACACCCATCAAACCCCTTGACAATTCATTTGCATCTCCGTGTGGAATACAGGCAGAATTTTTTCCCCTCAGGTCCATCGTAGTGGGTTGGTGGTGGATGGGTTTAAACAAAAACAAACAAATCAAATGCAACACAACAAGCCAAACCAGCATAATGCCGATGAAAAGTGGGTATCGTTATAGTTTAGTGAGTTTCCGGGCAGCAGAAATGTTGTGGGGGGGGGGGGGGGGGCGGCATTGCGATGCATGGCATTATTTAAGTTCTAGTCCGCTTCACTCAAGTGCAAACGAGTGGCCACTCCGTGGAGGGCGTGCATCAAAACGCATGCGGGCGTGTGGTGATCAAGAGGCCTTTTGTCAATGCCTTAAAACGAGACGTGTGCACGTCAGCAGACCCCCCCCCCCATCGCGGCGCACCGCGTTTGCGTGCGGGAAACCTACGTGACAATCAGCCACGCTTGCATGCAGCGTAGCAGTGCCAACCCGCGACCGGAGCCCGCACAACTTTACTCTCGAGTGAAACCGTCTAGATGTAGGTGTGTCCTTCGGGCGGCTGCGGGAGCTTCATGTTTTCCTTCTGCATCATGTGGCGCTTCAGTTCCTGCAGCATTATCCGAATGCTGTAGGTACTCTGCCACTTGGAAAGTACAGGCACCATACGGGGATCGACCTACAATAAAAAAACACAGTAAGGACATTTAAAGATGAGGATTGCCTCGGCGACCCTTTATCGTAAAGTCCTGTGCCACAGTGCAATTCTACAGTCAGGATGAAATGTACTGTCCGTTGCTGCTTCTGCTGCATCTGTTGCTGCTACTACCGCTGATGAAGGTCATCAGTGGTTCCATAACCACGAAGGCTCTTTTGCAAACTTACCATTCCGTTTGAGCTGTTGACGCCACTCAGGTTCACCTTGGTCACGAATCGGACAGTGGGAGGCATGTCTGGGTACTTGGGTCCGCACTCTACACGAAGGCTGTATATTCTGTTCTCGAAGCTCGTCTGTAAAGCGCGAGCACACAGCAAAGCGATGGAGACGCAGCCACGACAGGGAAGACAACACGAGCCTTGTGGGTTCTGTTCTGCAGGGTAATGTGGCATGTGAAGCACAAAAATACACCACCGCGGTCCCGTTCATAACTCGATCTGACCATGGAATTCGATCCGCCATTGTTTTGCTACAACTTATCAGGTATGTTTGTGGTTGTGAACAGCAGCACATGCACCAGCTTTGCTCTACTTTTGCTAATTCTGCCTGCTGTTTACACTTGTAAAAACGGTGCACTAAAATTTCCATGGACTTATTTTTTCATGAGAAACTTCCTTATGTAAGACCGGTGTTCTCAATGGGCAGTCACCCAGTTCTAAAGAACGTCTGAGCGGATCAGCTGTGTGACGTGCAAACATTTTGAACTTCTTTCGCACACCGTATGTTGCTAACAATGCTAATTGGACATGCGGGGGAAGAAAAAACTAAACAGAAAAATCTGTTAAATTTCGATTTAAAGCTTTCGTGACTGCAGGGATTCATCTTCTTGGTTCTTTCGGTAAAGTCACGTAGAAGGGAAGTAATACAATCATAAAAATAAAACAAAATAATTCTCACGACGTTTCGGCCACAACGCAAGCAGCCGTCCTCAGGTGAGGAAAAATCAGTTTTAAAGAAATTAGTTTTCAATCTATATTTAAATGTGCATAGCTCCAGCGGCTTCCTAATATCGGAAGAGCGTTCCAGACGGCTGCGGAAGCGCATCTGAAAGTGCGCGATGCAGTGACTGTCTTTGATGATTCGCCAAAAGCTGCTGCGGGGATGACCGGAGTTCGCGTGATGATTTATGTTCCTCGGTTCATTTGTGGCAAGCACTTTTTAATGAGTGCAACCTTATAATGTATTCGTTCAGCAACCAGAAGACATACCCTAGGTGGACCAATAATCATTCCTGTCCACCTCGTCATGGTCATGTCCTCATCGTCTTCGAGGCCCCAGCTCACGGTTCCATCGCCCACGCCCTTCTGACCTTCCTCCAGCTCCTCCAGAAGGCAGAAATTCCTGGGCACCTTCACGGCCGCACCTGTGAGGTCCAAAGGAGGTCCATTAACAGCAAGACATGGCGAGCACACCTAGTTTTTTTCATCCAGTTCATTTGTTTTGTCAACTATATTTTGGACTCTCAAAACCACTTCATTAGATGACGTGTTTTTTATTTGGAACTTTGTAGCTAGCAGTACATCATACTGTACCAGAGCCCCACAAGGCGCTGGCATCACAGTCCTCATTGTCACTTCTACAGACCTCTCTACCCACACCGCATGGCATGTTAGATGCATCAATTCATATCTCTTCTTAAACTCACAATTCATGCATCTAATCTCATGTAATGTTTTTAGATCTATGTATTTTGTATGTAAAGCGTTCATTGCCCCTGTCGTCACTAGAGGCCGCTATTTTCACTACAATCTTAAAATAGTTTGATCGAATTGACAATTTATGGAACTGTGTGGAGGGAACGGTTAGTGTGCCAATGACCATTCCATAGATATACGTGGAAAATACGGATCCAATTAGAAACTAACAATTCACTGCAGGTATTTTTCAGAGCTGGAATGTCACAGTGCATGACAGAAACAGGACCGGAAAACCACGTTTACGCACTCTCTTTAGCCACGATCGTTTGCAATTGCTTCCTCTACTATGCTCTGCACAAGGGCTGCTACCATGATCAACCCACCGCTGGATGAAGACCCTCCCCCAAGCCTTCGCCCATCTCTCGCGAATCCTGCGACATTCGCATCCGAGAAGATTTCTGCACTCCACATATCTCTTGAGGGCCGCGGGCGTTCCCTGCCTTTCTCCTCTCGCCAAAAATGTGAGCCCGAATCCATTTAGTGACAGCTTGCAGGAAAGCGTCACAACGCTCAAGGTGTGTAGAGGGCAGGGGGGGGGTTAAAATCTGCCCCGGTCACGACTGACGTGAATGAGCAAGACGGGTGGTCCAATGGGCGTTTTACGGCACCTACTTCATAACGTTTGCAAAACCCGGGCATGAATATGCAAAGCAAGATTGGTCGATAGCAAATCTATAATCACGCGCAAGCTACGCACGCTTTGAATGGTGCGCGGAAGGAACTGAATATTCCTCGATTCGAGCCGTGTGTATCGCACTCGTTTCCTTCTCGTGAAACATTGTTAAAACAAAGGTTTCACATCGCAGCAGACCAGAATGTGAGAGTCCAGCCAGTGACAAAGGAGACGCGACAAACGAGAGAGAATCAAGGATATCGGAGACGACGGGAGGCTTACAAAGACGACTGTGAAAAGACTGCATTGACGGAACAGCACAGTGTAAACGAGACGGGCGTAACGTAGGGTAGTATAACAATGTGGCAGGAGGTAGTGGTCCAATCTACAGTATCTAGACAATATCAGTATCACTCGGAACGTGATTCGTTGCAATTGAACACCGTGCAAAGGACAATTCGTGACAACTTTCTTCCTGAAATGCAATTCAATCGCACTGCGTCCGTTTTCAGGCACACATGGAAATTCCTGTCGAGGTCAAGTGCCGTTAGCGAGTAGCAGCCACGAAGGCCGGCACGGCACACGAGGGGTGGGGGGTGGCCAGCACCACGCCCGACCGCCTTTGTCTCTCCCCAAGGACCGTTTCACGTAATCGCTATCACTGGGTGTTGGCCACGAGTGGGAATCGAACTCGGGTTGCCAGGTTGGTAGCGCAGTGCGCTGACCGCTACACCACCGCTCCCCACGACAGAGACACACAAACAAGACACACGATCAGATGCGTCGATTAATCTCACTCCACAGCACCTTTCTTTAACGAGCTACGAAAAATATCAACAGCAACAACAATAAAAATGAATGTACAATCAACCGCAACATCACCAAGACCACCACCACGCAAGTGCATTTACAGTCGCGTTTAATTAGCCATTGAAAATCTGACACCGAGAGCGAGCAGACAGCCACCGGGCTTATCGGGCGGCGAGAGGCGGCCCTTCCCCGGCGGGGGAATCTATCCGAGGGGCGGTGACTCCCGGTCACACGCCGGGGTAAATGTCAAGGCCACGGAGGCATCCGCCGCCGCAGCAGTTTAACCGCGCAAGCGGCCTCTCCTCTCGCTCGGCCTCCCCCCCACGAGGACGAATCCCCGGGTCTCTCCGCGCCACTTGAGTTTGTTTGTTGTTGTTGTTGTTCTATTTTCTACGTGGGATAGGAGAGAACGCGCAGAGGGAACCCACCGCTAGCGGACACGGCCATCTTGGACTTCCGCGAGGGAGGGAGGTGGGGGGGGTGAGGGAGGAGGGGGGCGGGGCCTTGTTGCGTCACGGTGACGTCACGCGCGTGCACGCGACTCATCGATAAAGGATCGTCCATAAATGACGTCACGCGATTTTGGACGATTTTTGACCCCCTCCCCCCTTTCCTCACACGGCGTCACAAAAAGTCAGACCCCCCCCCCTCAAATATGACGTCATAAAGCTCTGCCCCCCCCCCCCCCCCCAAAAATAAAACATGCTTCAAATCGCTTTAAACTATTGTCATTGTAGTGCGTATTTAATGTGGCGCTGCACTCTGATGTTGTAGGAGAAAACAGTTATTTTAAAAAGACTATTAATACTTCATCCAGCGGTGGATTTATCATCACTCGTGATGAATTTGCGTCGTGGAATCACCTCTCCGATGCGTTGCCCTCTTATCGTGGTTTTTTTTGGTATTTTTTGTTGTTTTTGTCACGTTCTGACCCCGTGCCCCCCGTACTGGACATCTATGAAAAAGAGCTTTATAGCTCATCAGATTCCTCCTGCAATATAAATAAATATTCAGATTTTGTTTCTATACCGTACAATTAATGTGCTGCTAATATAAACGCCAACGATATCAATTCTTTATACCGTGTATATAGACTCCGGTAAAATCACTCCAGGATAGTTAGGCTTCACATTGACCTTGTGCTTTGAAGTCATTGATCCAGCAGTGGATTGACCAACGTGAATCTGAGTTCCCGCTCAAGGAGTGTTGGAACGTAGCTCACCTCCTGTATAACAGCCCTGAGGCAGCGGTGGAAATTCCGCATTACTCTGGCTTGGGCGAGTCGATCCGTCGGACGATCACTGTTAACTTTCCCATTAAGTGGTACCAATTTTATCGACCCCCAGAGCGAGGAATGATGAGCCGAATCGACTTTGAAATAAGAATTTGAAATCGCAACTCGCTCCCTCTACTGCTGAGCCACTGGGCCGGTTTGGAATTGTTAGTGTTTTAAATTCATTATACTCTAATAAATCAAAATATAAACAGATGTTGGGCACTAATTGAGACATATACAGAGTGCTTAATTTTCGTTTTAACACTTCTGAGAATTTGCAACAATGCCACAATCAATGTGCCTCCGGACTCTGGAAACAACCTGGAGAAGATCCCAGGCTACGTGTTGACAATGAACAAGTTGATACTGAAGCTATTAACATACATTTGTTATCATGTTACAGTGTACTATCCGTTCTTTTTCCATTAAAAACGATAGTCCTATACAAGTGTTCAAAACAAGTCGAAGCAGCCTGTATATGAAGGAGACAAGCAAACAAGGCATCACGGGACTTTATTGGCAATTAATTTGGTGCAACAATACAATACAATGATAAAGGATTTGCGCTAATTAATAAATCCCGGCTTGGGAAGAATGATTCCAATCGGCACGCGTCCTCCACCTGCTACAACAATGCCTTTCTCATTTAAATAATTGAACATCTTCATCTAACACGCGAGCTGCCGCTACATGGATGTACAATAGCAACTCACCGCACCTGGGTCATTCAATCAGAATTAATGATGCATTCGTTCACCTTTACCTGCACCCCCCCCCACCTCCCCGTGGCGACGTCATCGGTACCATCTCTATAAATTGGACGAAGATCGTCGGATGGTGGTGCACAGTGATTTCGGTCACTGAGTTTAGTTTTGTGGATTTTTGCTGTGGTGTGGGGGTTTTTTGTGGTGTCTGGCGTCTTGTCCGTTAGTGATTTATGTCCGCGGGGAGAATGAATTTTCACGTAAGTTCGCAAAGCATCATCGGGGTGCGGAGTTTGCGTCTACCGTGCCCATACAGTCGTGGGTGTTGTTGTTTTCGATTGTCACTTTTCGGTTTTGTTGTTGTCCGAAAGCGTTTCTTCACGAGCTTTCGCACTTGGGCTCATGGAGAGATGAATATGCGGATCGAGAGCAACACGTGTGCGGATACGCGTCTCGGATGGGGGAGCTATCTTTGTATGTTCACGAGTGGTTTCCTCTTTTAGATTGCCCTGATGGCTGCTGCGTTCCTGTCGGTGTTGGCTGTGGTGCTGCTCGTATCTGAAGTTGGGGCACAGGAAGGTAGGAAGAAACAAAATGTGTGGCAATCCTTCTTCTCGAGCCGCCCTCTTGGAGCAACGAGTTTGCAACCTGCGGCTCTTTAATGACTGCCGCTTCGTGACCGCTGTTTTATTCGGGACCAGTCTCGTATTCATCGCGTGCATTCGGAAAATTGTCGTTTTGGTTGGCAAGCTCCCTGCTCTGTCGTCTACTCCGTACAAATACAAATCTTGCCATATTCTCGTGCTTATAAATATACTTTCTTCTCCCAATGTGTTTTACAAACGAATGTTTGGAGTGCATCTTATTAGGTGTGACCCACATTGTCTAAGTTTATTGACAAGGGGCACACGTTTTCGGCGGTGGTTTTTACTTTCCGCAGCGTCTTTGTACGTTAACCTAGAGACGACGGTAATACGCGTATCCAGCCGTTGGGTAGTCCACTGGTTGGACAAAGGCGTCTCTACGCTGTCGGTTATCTCGTTTTGGTTGATGCATTGCAAAAAAATAACGCACGTTTGTTTCGCATAGACCGCGGCTTGCAGTTCTAATGTAGTTCCAATAAAAATTTGGAAACCTTTTCATTTCCAACCGGATAAGAAAATATATCTGGGGAAGCTGGAGAGACACCCTCCCCCCCCCCCCCCCCCCCCCCCCCCCCCCCCCCCCCCCGGGTACTCGTCCCTGGCGGCGGAGCCAGACGCGAGCACTCTGGTCGCTCCCGCAGATTTCTAAATTCAGAAATCCACAGCGCAGGCGTAACTGGGCTCGGTTCGTGCGCCCCGCGTGTTTGTGATTCTAACACTTTCTCTGTTTCGAACTTGAAAATGTTTATTTAAAATTTTACGAGGGAGATGACCCGATGCTCTGCAATGGGGAAAATAAGAGACTGTTGTTAATTAAAATCCCCTCAATCTCGCATTCCTATAAAAGCTTGTTTTTGTTCTACGGCATTTAAAGAATTTTTTTCGTGACGAAATAATTACTTTTAATAGGTGAGAATTGTTTTACTTTGGCGCAATTATAAATGATCGGTATTCATTACTCGTTAGTGCCTCAGATCGATTCTTTTCCGAACCTCTGCTATTGCAAATATGGCATGGGGAAAATCCTGCTTGGCCAGTTACCCCTTTGCGTAAAGGCACTCGATAATGCAAGTTGTAGTGGTGTGTGTAAATATACGAGACTTTAAATAATACCTTAGGTTCGGGTAGTTTGGCCCTCGCCCCCTTGACATAAAGACTGCACGCGAGTTGCGTGGTTCTAATGCTTGATGCTCCACGGGCTGGGAGCGTGGTAGTGTAGCGGTTGACGCGTTGCGCAATTGAACCCGGCAACCCCAGAGTTCGATTCCCGCTCATCGCCAACGCCCATTACGATTATCCGACTCGGTCCTGGGCCTCCCCTAGGTTGACTCGACCATGATGCGGTGTGAATATCGCCATCGGGGAGACGAAGGCGGCCGGGCATGATGCGGGCCACCAACCCACATCGTGTGCCGTGCCGCCCTTCATAGGTGCTACTCTCTAACGGGCACGTGCCCCAACAGGTTGTCTGGGCTGTGCAGGGGATCTGTGTTCTTCGTGGTGATTGTTGGTCTTGTGCACGAGATCACCGTCGTCTCTCCCACAGCAGGCGATAGCGAGGTGGCCTTGCTGTGCAATCCGTCCTGCAAGAACGGAGGCCTCTGCAAGCAGGAGGACAACGGCACCTTTGCCTGCCAGTGTCCCGAAGGGTTCATGGACAAAGACTGTTCAAGTGAGTGCCGCCAACCTCGCAATCCGCGATGTGGCGACGCTGCCAATTGCGTCTTGACTCTTGAGATGCAAGGTCAACGCTAAAAATAGTTGCTTGTTAGTGATTGATCGAACATTTTCCCGAGTTAACATCTTGCCACCGTGGCGCCCTGCGCAAAAACCTGAGCGCAGTAACCCACGTGTGTGATGGGAAGTGGTGGTGTTGCTGGGCATCCGAGATCTAAAGACGTGTGTGTGTGTGGGGGGGGGGGGTGTCCTGAGTTCGATGTAGCGGTAGTGTGGCTGTAAGCGCGGCGCGCTACCAACACTGCCACCCGAGTTTGCTTCCTGCTCTCGGCCAAAACCAAGTGACGAGTATTTGAATCGGCCCCGGGCCTCCCTGAGGTCGCCTCATGAGTACCCGGTGCAGTGTGAAACATCGCCACTGGTGAGACAAAGGCAGCCGGGAGTGGTGTTGACCACCCACCCCCTCGCGTGCCGTGTCGGCCTTCATAGGTGCGCGCTTCCATTTGCCCCAACAGTCAAGGCTGTATGAGGGGGGGGGGGGATCTCTGCCTGTGTCTCCCCCCCCCCCCCCCCCATCTCGTTTCACTCTATCACCATTGCAGATAGCTTCCTGGACGTGATCTGCGGTGCGACCAAGGTGAACGCGATGCTCCGCCAGGAGTTCCTGGAGCAGCACCACGTCCCGGCCACGTCCGTGGTGCTGGGTGGCTTGACCGACGAGGGCCAGAACAACTCTTGTGTGGGGACCCTCCGTGAGGTCCAATCGTCGGCCAGGGGCTATTACAGCATGTCGGAGACGCACGGCCGCCGCAACTGTGGAGCTGCAATGGAGGTGGGTGTCGGCTTCCCCTAGGTAGACTCGGCCTCAAATTGACATGGAGTGGTGTGGTCAAATATCAGCACATGAAGGTGGTGCTGGACACCCATCGCGTTACGTACTGTGCCGGCCACTTGACCCAACGGTCTAAAGGCTATATGGGGATCCTTGTCTTTATCTCATCGTGACCAAAGCGCTTTACGGAATAAACAAATGGTACGAATGAAATTAAAATTGACAATGGGTGTACATGTGGTGCATGAATTAAGTAGAAGCTAAAGTGGCAATGTTATCGTTAGCACCGACATGTGTGTGTGTGTGTGTCGCTCGTCTCCTGCAGTCCAACGCCACCCATCTGATCCTCCACTACGAGGTCGTGGTGGGCAATCGTACGTCGGTCATCGAGCGGACCTACTTCGTGATCAAGTTTTCGTGCGTGTACCCTCGTGAGGAGCGCGCCAAAGCGGACATCCCGATGGAGAGCCGGCTCTTGTGAGTGGATTTCTTCTCCCCCCACCCCCCCTCGTGTACGCTCGGCGTGCCAGCCCTTTGGAACGGCGTTTGGTTCGATGCCTGAGCATCGATAACCAAGGGAAGCCCTCCGGATGCTGCTGCTGCCACGGAATAGCAGCTCGCTTGACTTGCAGTCAGAGGTCACTGGGGAATACGCACTTTTTCAAATCTAGATTGAAATTTCATTAAGATGCAATATGTTTAGTTTGTCCATAATGAAGGTTTTGGGTTCTGTCACGTAATTGGTAAGGTTTGTCACGTAAACGGAACATGCCAATTCGTTACTACTTCAGCCCACTGGTGTGCGCAATTCTACACCATTTACAAGTGGAGTACGACGTGTTGCTGGTAATTACATCCAGCATCATTGGGCGATGTTACTATTGGTCGCTTGGCCTGCGTGTTAAACTAATTTATCCTTCGTCCGCACCGCCGATTTTATCACTGCTGGCTACGTATGGTGCAAAAGGCTCAACACTCGTGCGCTTACATGAGCAGCAGAAAGGGTGAAAAAGAATGGCTGGGCCAAGATGTTCGGGCATGTGAGCGGGGATGAATGAGCAGAATGGAGCTGCATGGACTAGCACACATACTTTCCCCAGGGGTTGGGGGGGGGGGGATTTGGAGGGGGGGGGGCCCACACAAGTCCACACATTGTCCCGTGAATTATTTCACCTATTAACCAGGTAAAAAACATTTTTGCAGGAAGCTTGAGCTGATTTGGATGAATGGGTTATTCCCCATTCTCCCACTACTGCACATGAAACAATATCCACTTGCCTGCTCCCATTCTCCCCTTTTAAAAGCCATTCTCTTCTCCCCTAGCCCCTCCTGCTACTCCTTAACCATCACCAAAACAAACCCCACACCATCTCAACCACCGTCATATGTACTTGTTATAATTGCTGTAAAATGCCTTGGCATGAAGGAACTAGATGCATAGTTTCCAAAAATTTTACGGACCTTTTTAAAGGTGTAGTGACTTAACCGGAGACGCTAATCCATGGAAGCACTTTGTTTCAACAGCACGACTGGGATCCCACTCCAATCGGCAGCCCCGAGCTCTCGCTCAGGGCCCCTTTTATGCTCCTTGCCTCGCCCTCTAGAACCTACTAACGGGTTTCCGGGCTTCCCCCACGTGCCCCTTCTAACCTTTCCCCGGATATCCCCTCCGGTCTATCACGTGGCCTGCTGCGGTCAGGGCTGCTGTAAGCTGTAAATCCCCTTTCCTGCCAGCAGCCCGCGCTATGCTGCTACATAGCTAATTATGTCAAGTTTAAAACGCTTTTGCCACTTGCTTGCCCACCTGCCCCAGGACGTTCGCCATCCCGGAGATGCAGGGCGTGCTCCAGGTCCTCATGGCGCTTTACAAGTCCGACCGCTTCACGGCGGACCAGCAGCTGGTGGGCTCGCCCATGCTGACGGCGTTCCAGCGCGTCTACGTGCGCGTCCACCTCGCCATGTCTCGCGACCACAGCCCCGTCAACGTCAGTGGCTACTTTGGCCTCCTCGCGGTCAACTGCTGGTCGACTCCGAGCAACAACGAGTCGGACCACCTCACCCACAAGATCATCAACGATGGGTGAGGGGGGGGGGTGGCAGGGCTTGGCTTCCGGTGGTGGTTGGGCGCCTTTTGTTTTCTTTAAACTAAAAAAAATATCTTTTTATTTTATTTTACCAGGTAATGCCCCCATTGAATTCTGGTAGAGCTTTTCCCACAAGCGGGCCTGGACACAAATAATAGCTCGCCAAAGTGGCCTATGTTGGACATTTCTAACAGAAGACCGTGTAGCCAAATCTATTGATGTTATGGCTCCTACTTCTGTGCTCGCTGCCTTCACCACCCCCTGCGCTAAACCAGCCGACCTGAAGTATGGCCTAAAATCGATGTGAGCAGGGCCCTCATCCAGCAGTGGAGATTGCTCAAAAGGTCCCCCACCGTGTGCCATTTCTCCCCCCCCCCCCTCCTGTATGGACGAACGAATCTCCGTGCGTGCAGGTGTCTCGCGGACCAGACTGCCTACTTCCACCGAGGCAACGGGAATGACACCTCCGTGGATTTCAGCTTCCAGATGTTCAAGTTCATCGGCATGGAGTACTCTTACATCTACATACATTGTGCCGTGCGCGTCTGCTACACCAGCAACCGCATGGCGTGTGTGCCGGTAAGTCGGCTCCATCTCGAATTAATTTATTCGGGCACCTCAACATTCGTGCAACCATTTTGTTAAACCACCGCTGCTGGATGAGTGGCCACGCCATGCAGATCTGCTACCAAGACAAATCTCCTGTATAGCCTTAAGAGAATGTTGGGGAAAGTGCTCTTGGAGAACCTAAATAAAGGCTGTCATGGCACACGATGGGGGGGGGGGGGGGGGGTGGCCAGCACCATGCCCGGCCACCTATGTCCCCCCAGTGGCGATGTTTACACACTGCACCCAGGTACTTATTTGAGGCAGTTGACCTGGGGGAGGCCTCGGTCCCGTTACTATAATCGTCATTGGATGGTCTACAGCTCTATGGACGGTTATTCTTGTGCGCAAAGGAGCGATATTTGTTTTTTCAAACGGCGCAGGGATGTCAAGGTGGCAGGGTCAAGCGACACTCAAAGACTGACCTCTTCGAGGGCGTGCTGTCCATTGGACCCATGAAAATCGTGGACGAGAATGAGGACTTGCTGCGCACCTCCATAAACGGTGACCTCCTGACCCCACCAGCGAACTTCGCAACACTGTCCGTGTATCTGTGTGCACCGCCACCATCCGTGGCGTCGCGCTCTCCGTTAAAGGTGCAGCCCTCCAATTACTTCCTCGTACCCCTGCTGCTTGGAAGGGCGTCCACACGAGACCTCGAGAGCTCCGCCCCCTCACGGATATCTTGGCCTACTCCTCCCTGGCTAGTGTGAACTTGTTTTTGTGCAGTAAGTAGCCAACCCTGCTAATCGGTGTGCGGTCTAGAAAGGGTGGGATTGTACGCGCACTTGAACACGTCACACGAGCCATCACGTGCCCGTGCGTGCACTGTCAGATGGCAAGTCGCATGTGCCAACACCTTGCACCATGGTGATATTGAGTCTCGACAGCACACAAGTCGAGTGTCCATTGCGGTCGCGTGTTTTTGGCATTAGCCCTATAGCTGTCCTCCCCCCTCCGTGTCGCAGCAATGTGCCACTACCCTCGACCAATGGCTACATTGCCTATGCCTCACATTGCACTGCCAGGAATCTCGGCCAATTGGGCCCCATCCTGCCAGTGGGCCACGGTGCAGTTTGCAGTGCCTGCTCACTCGATAGCTATGCCACGGAGTTGACAGGTGTTTGTCCTTTCTGTAAAAAAACAATTCTAGAGTTAAGTCCAAGGAAGGGTAAGAACATAACTGGACCAACTACTTTGATATCTAAAACTGAGAGCTCACAAACATTGACTAAAGAATAACTCTCCCCCACCACCACTGCCATCTGCAAGTCAAGTCCTGGATGGAGTGACCATCAGAGCAGTTTTTTTGGACTGGGTGAAGTAAGGATTCCAGGCTATTGATCTACTCTGGCAAATCGCCCGATGCTAGATGTTAATTACCAGTTAAATGTCGTCTCAAATTTAAAATGTAGATTTACACCAACATATATACCGGTGGGCTGAGGTAGTAACTAATTGGTGCGTTAACGTGACAAACCTTTACAGGCTGTCGGGTAGTGAAGGGTTATGACACATTCACACCTGCGCATTCCGACCCAAAAACCTTGAGTAATAATATTGGTCGCTAAAGCATACGTGTTTTTAAACTCATTCTAATCGTCCGTCCAGAGTTGCGTAATCACTGAATAATTTGTAATCGTGCGCGCGCGTTTGCAGGTCTTCCCATGCCCGTCGTGATCCCGGTGTTCGTCATCACCGCTATCGGTGGCGCGCTCGCGGCCCTCTGCTGCTTCACCCTTTCCCGGCACGGCTGGGGGCTCGGGTCGAGCGAGGACAAGGAGGTGGAGGGGGCGGTGATGCCACCGGCACCCTGCCACGAGGTCCCAAGCAGCGACCCGGTCATTGCCGTCTCGCCGGATCAGCGCTGCTGCACCGCAGGGCTGCTGCCCGAAGTCTTAAAAGGCAGTCGCCGCACGTGTGTGATCTCGTGATCCGATGCACGTGGTTTTTCCACCCGAGGTGTGCTTTTTTGAAGTTGTGCTCGAGCTACATGACGCTTTTTTTCTTTTTGGTTGTACTGTGTGGTGATTGGCACGATGTTCGTGGCGCTCCCACGTGCTGGGGGGGGTAAACAAACTCTCGGCAACCGATTTCTAAAACCCCAGCAGGGCACGTGGACGCGACGCCACCGGACCTGTGCAGAGCACTGCTCGCGTTTTACAATCTGAGAAATATCGCCGTTATTATGCACGGTGCAATTTTTGAAAAGATGCCTTGTGTAACTTTTGTACCTTGTTTAAATATTTACACGCAGGCGCATTATTTAGACAGATCCTGCCATGCGTGTACAGTGGCCTGAAACTGTTTGCCTAGGTAACATTTAACTTGATATTTAACTTGTTATCTTGGTACACTAAGGTGCGGGGGGGGGGGGGTGCCAGCCTGCCCTGTGCGTACTCCTGCTGAGTGGGGATGCCGAGCCTGTAGAATGGTTTATGTATAATGGGGCAATGACTTTGGACAAAGCCAGACCTTCGTGGAGTCGGTGAAATATACTTTGGTGGGGGGACGGTTTTTGATACCGAGACTCTCGAATTCATAGGCGTGCCTTATGAATGTGTAACTCGGGTCGCGCTATCGACGCATTACCACGTGTTTTTTGAAAGCCAGCTCGCTCCCTCCACCCCCCACCACTTTTTGAGCCATGGTTTAAACGGGGAGGAGTCTTTCGTGGGGGGGGGGGGGGAGGAAATGTACAAAAATGCCACGCACTTGACCCTCAATGATATTTCAAGTGTTTCACCCCTGAAACAAATAAAACGGCACCTCGCAATGACGACGCTGTGGTTGTGTGGTTGTCGGTTCTCGCTGGCGTTGTGCAAACTCGTGCGCGCGCGCACACAAGTACGCCTGCACAATGAGTCCCTTACATTAGTAGCGTGTGCAGTGAAACCTTCATGGATGTTCCGAGACGGGAAGGTAAAAGGTGTTTGAAAGTTCTTCTGGCTCCATGCCAATATGCTGCGAGGTGGAGGCGATGTATTCTAGGAGCTACGACCGTTTGCTTCGTTCGGTTTTCACTTTTGGCTTTAATGGCGAAGAGTCCACCTTGGATGAGACTTCTGCACACCGTAGCCAACGGCGCTAGTCGGGGGTGCCTCGAGGCAAGATTGAAGACGGATGCCAAAGTTTTTAAATCCCAGCGACAAAATGATCACAACCCGGCACAGGAGTGCGTGTTGGCTATAAGTCTTGTACAACGAGTTGCAGCAAACAATACCGGGATTTGGTTTACTTGAAGGGTAGCAGATGCGTACCAAAAAGAGTGCACAAGGATATTGCGTTCCTTGGACTGCAGTTTCCCGACATGAAATGCTCAACCGCTGCCTGCCAGGTGGTGTGTCACGTCTCACTGGGCCCCCTTAATATATTGAAACTGCATTTAGGTAATCGCTCAAGGAAGGGGGGGGGGCTATATTCAAAATGGGAGTGTTCTAAGACCATATTCTGATTCAATCCACTTTCCATTTGGAACTCTTGCAGCGAATTGTGCCTCAACCCTGCAGAAGGGACCCAAAATATGTTGCATACGTTTCTAAAGCCACTACAATAACCTATCCGCACTCCATTTGCCTTTAAAAATCCCAAATCTGGGAGGTTGCTTGCTGTACTCGGCTGTCTCTTGTCAAACGTCCGCTTGGTTGTGGCTTTTAGGTGAATAAAACCGAGCGAAATGAGCTACATATGCATCTGCGTCTGTCCCTTGCGCGTGAAAATAAAGTTGATGCGTTCTCATAAGCCACGTGGCCTGCGAGTGCATGATGTGTGCGACAGCGCTGCACGAATGAAACGTTGCGCCGATTGTTAGTCGTCTCGGCTGTCGGGCTTTTGAACTAGCAATGGTGAACGTTCCAAATGTGTATAGACATGAGTCTTGGCTTTACACAATTGATTCCTAAGAACAATTGGCGTCATAGTGGCGAATATAAATAGCAACATGAAGATAGTGGATTGTCAAATAATTCATTCTCGACAACGTACATTAACTAAATAATCAGATTGCGGTGCAAATGAGCTACTTTTACGAAACGTGGCACGTTCCAGACTTGTTTCGGTATAAGCCCCCATCTTAAAACCAAACCGCTCGCAACGTTGCCCCGATATTGTCAGATTTAGGAAGCCAAGCAGGGGTTAATCCTGGATAATGCTCGGATGTGTTGCTGCTTCACTAAGACGCGTGGTCATAGGGCTGCGGGTCTGCACGACGAGCAGCAAAGAGCAGTGCAGCAAAATTAACTGAACTTGACAGCTGTCAACAACCTCTTAGCGGTGCCTATTTTATTACAGACCTGCCAACTACTATTCACCACTACTATACACTAGACTATACTATACACTAGACTATACACTACAATACATACCTATTAACCCCTTCTCATTGCCTTACCTTATTACATACAAATTCAGACATTGCTCACCCCGTGTCCTTGTATATCTCAACGTTTATCCGATGCTATACACAACATTATACACTACTATACACGACACTAAACACTACTACATACCTGTCAACTCCTTATCAGTGACGACCATATTACAGACCAATTCAGACCTTATTGGTCACCCCGTCCCCTGAAAAATCTCAATGTTCATCCTACCAAGTCACAACACAAGGGAGAACACACAACGGCTGTATGCCGTATGGACCTGAACATTTCAATGTACCTGTACAAGAATACGGGGTAAGCAGTATGGGTTGACGGGTATGTCCACGTGTCTCCTCCACGCCTTCTACCCGCACTCGCCACCACTGCGGTGATGCGTGGTCCAAGTCACCTCCACGATCATCGCGTAGCGGCGGCTGCAGCGGTTTAACGCCACGAACCCAGTGACCCGAGTTCGATCCCCGCTCACGGCCAACATCGGTGACGATTATCTGAACGTCAGCCGGTGCGATGCGTAAACGTCGTCATTCGGGGATAAAGGCGGCCGGGCGTGGTGCTGCTGGTCACCCACGCCCTCGTGTGCCACAATGTCTCGACATTCGATTGGGGCTAACTCACAGCGCTTGCTCCGACAGTGTTTATGCAAGAGGTGAGGGGGGGGGGGAATCGTTGTCTTCGTACGCGTGCAGTCCGTACACGACGCGCTGTGTGCACACTTCGCGAGAAGAATTCCGGTGGACAAAACACGAGTGTGCAGGTGAATGTGCAGGTGAATGTGCAGGTGAGTGTGCAGGTGAGCGTGCAGGTGAGCGTGCTGGTGAGTGTGCAGGTGAATGTGCAGGTGAATGTGCAGGTGAGTGTGCAGGTGAGCGTGCAGGTGAGCGTGCTGGTGAGTGTGCAGGTGAGTGTGCAGGTGAGTGTGTAGGTGAGTGTGTAGGTGAGTGTGCAGGTGAGTGTGCATGTGAGTGTGCAGGTGAATGTGCAGGTGAGTGTGCAGGCGAGCGTGTAGGTAAGTGTACAGGTGAATGTGTAGGTGAGTGTGCAGGTGAGTGTGCATGTGAGTGTGTAGGTGAGTGTGCAGGTGAATGTGCAGGTGAGTGTGCAGGTGAGTGTGCAGGTGAGCGAGTAGGTGAGCGTGCAGGTGAGCGTGCAGGTGAGGGTGCAGGTGAGCAAGTGCATCGTGAGAGCACCATGTATCACGGACGCCACTCGGATTTGTAAGACACGTGCATCGTGACACGCGGCCCGTGCCACCCGCTGGAGGTCGCTTGCACGTATGCACCGTGCGTGATGAACCTCTTTCGCGCCGTACGTAGCCCACCGTCCTAATCAGGTATACGCCACGCACGCGCACACAAACCATGACGGCAGCTAGATGCGGATGGCACCTTCCTCATGCACACGTAGACAATGAATAAATGAAACTCTCCGGCCAGCCAGAGACTGCGGCCGTCACCCAGAACAGAACCATCGGAGGCGCATGACGACTCAATGTCTCCATTCAGAAAAATACGAATGAGTCGGCATCGTCACGGCGATGAGAACCACGCCGCTCCGCGCGCAATCGTCCGGCTCATCATCAACCACCCCAAGGGGGGTAAATCATCATTGTTGTCGATCGACAGGGTGGTCCAAATGTCTTGTGACCCCCCTCCCCCCAACTTTAATTATCTAAAACTTTTTTTTTTAAAGTAAGGCTCGTTTAAAACATAAATGAACGTACAAAGAGGAAAAATATCTTCTTGGTTATTTCGGTAAAGTCACGTAGAAGGGAAATAATAAAGTAATAAAAATAAAGCTGAATTAAATTAAATATTTTCTGAAGGGGAAAAAGATGTTCGGGGCCAATTAATTGGGGAGGGGGGGGGGTCACAAGACATCTGGACCTCCACGCTTAAATCACTACTTTCAAGTAACTTCCTGCCTAGCTGCTAATGTATAAAGGGTTAGACGAGGTATAAATAGTATTTGCCTGTAAGCGACAACTTTATGCGCATTGTTTACACTCCGTTTTTTTATGTATGCTGTTTTTTTTATTCCTCAATATAATGCCATCATGTTTGAGGCTGTATCTGCATTTTCATTACAATGGCAGAACTAGTTTTTTTTAGAGATACAGCGTGGTATTTGATGACAATCTATACTAAGCTTAATTTTTGTTTATTAAAAAAAGAAAATGTTTACATTGCGATTATTATTTGCTCGTAATATTTTATATTCAACTTATCTGATATTTTCGGTAAAGTCACGTAGGGGAAATAATTAATTAATAAATTACTAGTTTATACAAACTATAATGAAATATTAATTAATTTACTTTTTTCTATTACTTTTATTATTATTTCTTTTTATTCTTTATTTATTTTTACATACGTGACTTTACCAAAAAACCTAAGAGTATGAATCCTTGCAGTCACGAAAGCTTCAAATCTAGAATGATCTGTTATTGGTTATTATTACTGTATTTTACTGTGACTTGTTACGCTTTTCGAAGAAACGGCGTTGTAGTTTTTGCTGATGGAACCCGATGTAAGAGCTTCTTGGCGCACAGGGTTACTTCAACATGAACTGAACAGCGTCCATCAGCCACACGCAGAAGAAGAAGCTCCGTTCTGCTGTGCAGTGTGACCACAATAATCGACTCTTTCATCGAATCACGAGGGGCGCAGTCGTCACCCGTGCTCAGACAATTGAGCGAGCGGCAATTATCCATCACAGCACGCGGCACGTGCGTCAACGATATTCCAAAAGGGCACGTGGGCTCTCCTCGATTGCCCGATGCAGCTGATTGTCCAATGAGCGGCCGATTGGACGCGATTTGAGTGACGCGGTGGCAATGTACAGCCACGTGCAGCAAACGCCACGAACGCAAATTCGAATGTTCTCGAAGAATGTCGACATATGCCCTGAGCCAACCCCCCCCCCCCCACACACTTTTTATTTGTTCTCACGCAAATAACAACAACAATAATAATTTGATTCGAAAACGAGCATGGGCCGTCACATGGATTTCGACATCTCATAATCACGGAGAGATCGATATGTCGCTGTCGGTCATACGGGGATTGTTTGACCATACTTCACCGCGTTGGCCAGTGCCGAGTTTGATGAAGGTGGCAACGCAGACACCGATTGATGATATCACTCAGGCAACTGATGTTAGCCGTGGGCCGGGACATTTCACTTTTCAAAACTCCAACAATTTACTCACAGCGCGAAGCGTGAACCATCGCTCCCACCGCTCCAGAGCAATTCCCAAGCCGTGGTCTCATCGCAGCCTGGACTTGCACGTGCGGCTCGACGGATGTGCGAAGGAGGAGGCGAGTGGCTGGGTGATCGCGCATGATTTGCAAACGGTGTTGCGCGCGTGCAGTCGCTTTGACGATAATTAGTGAAGATTTGGGAGGAGGTCGAGACAGAAACCGTGGTAATTAAGCAAATTGGACGGCAACACCGACAGACAGATTGGGAGGTAATTAAACAATGAACGCCTAAATTACTCGACTGATTCCCCCCCCACCCCACCACCAATCACGTGACCACCACCACCATTGTCTCGGGATGGTATAAATGGTCGAGGTGTGCTGTGGTTGTCGTGTTGCAGCTTGCTCTGTAGTCTAGTTTTTGTAGTTTTCGCGAGTGGGACTGACTCGTGATGTAAGTATCGGCGTTCTACGGGATTCTTGTCGTTGTATTTCCCAATAATGGGCTGCTGATCGTCGGCTTATTGTAGCGGTGGGTTAAGTACTGAATCGAGAAACGCGTTTGGGGGTTTAGTTTTTTTTCACGTTGGAGAGGGTAAGCGTTGTCTAGACCTTGCCTGGACGTCTTCTCTTAAATGCCGGTTCTATCGTGTGAAGGATAACTGTTTGTGGGAAAGCCTCCAGAGCTGGTTGAGGTATGTTTATTTAGCTTTATTCACGAACGGGAATTGTCCTAGATGCTTAAGAGTCCTACTATTTAAATTGTAGGTGGAGGGGGAGAGATCCAGCTGGGACCTTGATTAATATGAAGGATGACTCCAGAACCAATGGAACGGTGTTTTGGCTAAACTCTGCCAATCTGCTTGGGACTAAAGTTGGGAAGAGATTATTCAGTTTCATGGTTCGTGTGCAACCGTTGTGTAGAGGTAATGGGTCCCTGTTTTTTTTTTTTTAATGGGTACATGTTGTGTAAAATACGCTTTTTCGTGGTGTTCTCTTCATCGCCTACGAACAACTTCAATTTAGACTAGCAGATTATTGGTTCTGTTTCGTAATTTACTTGCTGCATTAGATTCGTGCACATCTGCTAAACTTTTGTTCAACTCTGCCTTTTTTAAATGCCGTGTACAGACGAATATAGACGCTTTTTGGGCAGCCTCCTTTTTACAGCAGTGTTATTGACAACCTAGTAATGCGTTTTAGTTCTAATAAGCGTTATGTTAAAAATCATCCGAACTTTTGGACCCTTTCAAGCCTCCTGGCTCGGTGGTGCCTTGTCGGAGTACCTGGCCATGCCAAGCTACTTGGTCCACCGTATGGCAACCTTACCGCTGGAACGAATGGATTATTGCGTCTATCTGGAACTTTAACTTTCATACGCTTTGGTTCCTTTTGGTAAAGTTGCGTAGGTATAAAATAAGTCGCGACGTTTCGGGCGCAGCACCACAATCGGTCCGTCAGGTGGGAAGGCAAGATAACTGTTGTTGCGCCTGAAACGTCGTGATTTATTTTGTTTTTCTACTTGCGTGACTTTACCGAAAGAACCAAATGGTGGATTCCTGCAATCACGAAAGCTTCAAATCAAGATGTGGCCTTTTTTGCGGCCGTTGTGTCTAACCAAGCGTACGTTGACCTTTGCTTTTATATTTTCAGCTTTTCCTAATGGCGCCCCTAGCTCTTGCCCTGCTGTTCGCAGTTGCGTTTGCCACTGGCGCAAATGCCCAAGGTAGGCAAACCTTTCATTCGCTTGCACGAGACCTAACGTCTCAACCTATATCGTTTTCTACTTAAAAATTCTCTACAGCCCAAAAAGTACTCGTTCAAGCATTTCAGCTTGATTTGAAATGTCTTGGCCACGGTGGTGAAATGTTAAACTACTTCACCAGGAATGCAGGAGGTCGTAGGTTCAATCGCGACCCTGACGCCTGTTTCCATGTCTTCCCCGTGGTCGTGTGGATTTCTCCCTGTTTTTTCTCCTTTTAAAATTGGTGTACGTTCTAGTTTTGTTGCTACAATGCCACCACGGCAAGCCATTGGGTTGACCTATCCTTTGTGGCCACGTTTCCTCTAAGTGTCATTTGCTCATTGACCCTTTCCTGCTAAGTCTAGTCCCTGACGTAAGTTTAATTCGTACATCTCCCTAATTTGTGCATTATGACGTGTAATACTTGCATTTCTTTTGTATGCAACGGCCTATGTCTAATACCAAGCGTTTGTCAGCCGCGACTCTCCAATGAAATAGTTCCCGTAGAGGTAGGAAGTGTGCGGCTTGATGGTGGTTTACGCCAACATGGCCTGCTGACGGCCAATGAGCGAGTTCACCTCTTGGGAGCACCAATTATCCCACTTTCCTAAACCAATCATTATGGGAACAAAGTGTTTTAAAAAGCAAATCTGCTATATCCACCGATGAATAATACACTTGTATATCAGCTAATCGACCTTCCAAGCCCTATAACCTTTTCATTTAACTACTACATCTGTCAAGCCTTGTCAGGTCGGCAGTGCGGCTTGTTTTACACGTTCTAGCCGGGTCCGACCCGAATTTTGCGCACTTCAACAACGGCGTCTCGCGTTAAGCGGCGCTCCTGATGTTCAACCAAATGGAAACTCCTAAACACCTTGCTGTTCGTTTACCCTTGGCGCTAACGCTGTCTACAGACGCTTTGCCAGCGGCAATAAATGCAACCGCGATCACCCTCCCCCTGGCTGCGGCTGCGACCGACTCTTCGACTGCCGCTTCCACCATCACGTCCTCCCCAACCATCGCCTCTGCCTCGTCCTCCACCGCGGTAGCCACGACCTCGGTGACTGCTACTGCCGAGGTCGCGAAGGCTAACCAGACCGCGGGACCAGCGCTGGACACGCAGCAAGTTTGTCTCCCTGGCTTGTGCCAGAACGGTGGTCTGTGTGGCGTGACTCCGCAAGGCTCTTACGTCTGCACCTGCTTCCATGGCTACACGGGGCGCAACTGCTCAGGTGTCTGCTCGCGGTCGACACCAGCGACTCTTCTCCAAGCCCTCTCCCTCGATCGACACTGCCTTTTTTAAATCCTTAACATTAAGTTCCCTTGCTTGCTTGCGCGCTTACGACCGTGCAAATCTTTCGGCCGTTTTTAACCCACTTTCCGTGATCCAATCGAGCTGACATTATGCAAACATACTCGTTGTGCGTGACAATTTTCGTGAATTTTTTTCCAAAATTTTATACTTTTGGGGAATGTTTTAACTATTTAATTACTAATTGCTTAATGGTGCCAGGACAAGCATCTGACCCATCGGTGGCAGCCATCTCAAGCCAGAGGACTCGCTGCCTGTTTCATGATGACGCACATGTTGACTAACCACATGGCATGAAATCCCTGCCCTCACGCTGTACAATGGCGACTATAGAGCAGTTAAATTGAAGCCGCCAGGTTCTTGAAAGTGGTAAAACGGGTTTAAAACCGATGCCACGCATATAAAGGATTTTTAGTTAACTTTGTTTTTACGGGTTAATTCATTTTTTTAATTGCGTGTGGTGTAAGCATCGCCACTGGGGCGACTAAGGCGGCTGAGCGTGGATTTGGCCACACACCCCCTCGAGTGCCTTTCGGGCACCTTTTTTAGGTGCTCGCTAACGGCACTTGCCCTGACCAAAGTCGTCTGCTACGGGCTGTATGGGGGGGGGGGGGGTGTCTTGTTTCCTTGGCCTTGTGGATGTTCTACTAAAATTTGCCAACCGCAATCCGTTGGCGTCCCTGCGCTATGGAGGAAAGCGGTTTCCCCACTCGTGGTGGATTTTAAACCAAAGCGCCGTTTTGGCACGCAGTGTCGATCCTCGTTTGTTCCATAGACTTTAAATTAAACGCGTAAAAACCTGCTACGATTGTGGGGAGGGGGGGGGGCTTTCCACGTGTCTTATCAGAGGCTATATTGAACGCCACCAGTAATCCCACGTATCCCTGCAAATGAAGACGCCTGTTTCTAAACAGTCTCCAATTTGTGCTTCCTCCGTTTCTCCACCCAGAGGTGCTCCTCCGCGTGGACTGCGGGGCGAGCGAGGTGAGTGCGTCCCTGGAGAACGACTTTCTCGCGTGGCACAACATCACGGCCACCACCGTGGTGCTGGCGCGTCACACTTCCCTGAACGCGGTGCCCAGCGAGGCTTGCCTGGCTCGCAAGAGCGTCTCCCAGGGCGTGAGCCACCTTCTCATGAAGCAGACGCACGGTCGTGAGGAATGCGGTGCCAAGATGATGGTATGTCGTCGTCCCCCCCCCCCCCCCCCCTCTTTCACCCACCACGCCAGGGATTGCTAAGCTGGCTTCGAGATCCACGATTATAAAGCAATTACGTTAACTGCTGCTGTTTAAAATCTACAAAAGATGGCTGTGCAAAGCGTGCCTCCTGATGTTAAAATGTAGCACGTTTACTCGCCATCGCACCCGTGTGATTTAAGTAATGGCTAAACAAGTGCTTTTTGTTCAATGACCAAAGTACTGAAACTGGTCTCAAGCATCTTCCATTGGGACTCTTTTTACCCCTCCGTGTTTGCAGGTGAACGACACCCACGTGAACATCGCATACCAGGTAGTGATCGGGAACCGCTCTAACGTGATCGAGAGGATCTACTTCGTGCTGGACTTCTCCTGCGTGTATCCCCTGGAGGAGCGCGTGGCTTCCGATGTCGCCGTCACCAGCGCCCTCTTGTGAGTTTCCAGCTCCCTTTCCCTGTGGGTGTCTCTCCTGACCCCGGGCTTGGGAAACGTGACGGCTATGCGCTGCGATCGCCTGCAGTCTGCGGGACAATCTATCTGGAAAGTTGTGGCTTTCTCGGCCAGATGCGCTTAATGTCACTCTGGCCGTCTGCTGCCACTAGTGTTCGTCAATTTTTGTGCATTTGGTTTGCAAGAACTGCAGCCTCAATGCCGTTTTGGTATAAAATTACAAATGGAATACAACCGTTTTTACAGCATTGCTGTGAAGTTGACCATGGCAACAATCGCCATTGTGAAAAACCTGCATTCAACCCTAAACCGTCCCTGACCTTTCTCGCGGCAGGACATTCCTCCTCCCGGAGCGAGATGGTGTCCTGCGGGTCGCCATGTCTCTCTACAAGAGTGCCAACTTCTCCGCGGCTGACCAGTACGCGGTCTCGCCCAAGCTGAGCTCCTTCGATCGGATTTACGTGCGGGTCTTCCTGCACATGCACTCCAAGGACAAGGAGACTGACGCCAAGGGGGACTTCAACCTCCTCCTCGTGAACTGCTGGTGCACGCCGAGCGACAACGCGTCTGACCCCATCAACCACAAGCTCTTCAACGACGGGTGAGGTCCCAGCCATTTGGTGATCTTTGTTCCTGGGTTAGCAAGGGGGGGGGGGGGGGGGAGTGCAGCGTGCGAAATAAAAAAAATTCCATTAGTTTTGTTGCACTGATTTGGCCAAATGCCCATCTCTTTTACAACGCTTTGTGTTCAACCCCCACGGCTCTATCTCCATAAAACGCCTAGGGTATTTTAGTCTACCCCTATCATGCTGGACAAACATCCCTTGTAAGAAATGGGCTCCACATTTTTGCACCGTAACATTCGTGCTGCTTTTTAACTTTGCCCACTTCCTACTGCTGCGTGGTTGGGCTGCCTGTTCCACTGGATGAACGCCTCTGACGTAATTACAGTTTTGGACAAGTAACCCAAAAGCCATATTCACCCACGTCCTAATAACACTTTGGCTTGAAGCTGGATGCAAAATTCTTGCGTGAAAAGAGCAGCTGATGGCTCAAGATTCCCTTCTGTACTGCCATCCTGACCCACTGACAAATTCCTTTCGTGTACAAACCAGGCTTGGACTACTCTTTAATGTAACCTCTCGCATTAATTCTGTACTCGAGCTTGCAGTTGGATCGGTAACTGCAACTAAAACTTGCCCCATTGTTTTACGGAAGGGGCTTTGTGGCATCTACCATGCAGACCTTGGCGACATGGTTTCTACTTGCATGCACTTGGCCTTATCTGTTCTAGATCGCGGTTACCCATCACTATTTATCGAGCTACCACTCCTTGCTAGTCCTATTTGTCAAGCAGTTCAGGAATATGGCTATTAGCATTTGCCTCCCTTGCAGTATGTCAATGACCTTAATTTCACTCGGGCTTTTCCTTAACGTAACACTCGCTTGCCATTCCACTGACCTGCAACTTTATATCTAATCTGTCTGGCGAGGTAGATGTCCCGCGGACCAGACCGCCGCTTTCCACAGCGTGAACGGCAATGACAGCAGCGTGGACTTCAGCGTCCAAATGTTGAAGTTCATCGGCATCCAGTACCAGCTGGTCTACGTCCACTGCTCTGTGCGGGTCTGCTTCAGCGTCAACAGCAGTCAGTGCGTCCCGGTGAGTCTGCAGTCGTCTGGCTTTGTCACCCACGGGTCTCCTACTGAACAATTGGGTGTTGTGGCGTTTGATTTGCTTGCCTTGGCGCTGACTGTTTTGATGCGTTAGATGAACTTAATTCTTGACGTGACATAAGCCTTTATGAACTTGACACATGCAAGGTTACCCCCCGCCCCCCCCCCTCGACTAGAATGTCACTAGCTCCAAGGGTTGTAAGATGCTACAGATATTCGTCTTGACGAACCCTTATTGTGATCTAACTTCGTGTGGTAATTTAAACAACCCTAATCGAGTGGTTGGGTGCTGCTTGCGGCAGGGATGTCAAGGCGGAAGGGTGAAGAGGCACACGAGGCATGCCGACACGTTCGAAGGGGTGCTATCCATCGGACCCATGAGGATCGTTGACGATGAGGTGGAGATCGAAGTCACCCAGTCCACCCACGGTGAGGTCTCTCTAACCACGTGGTATCTGTCCCTGCGTTCCTCTGATTCCTTGGCAGTCTTTCTACAACATGTTGGCCCGCAAGCCCCGTTCTGGCTCGCCCATTTTGAGTACAGAGTATTATTTAGTAACTTTATTCATCCTGAAATGAAGCTTTTCCAAATATCTAGTTTCACGGTTCGCGTGCTGCAGTGACCTTGAAGCTTTAACCAACATGGCACTTCCAAGGCATTGCTCTACTTTGACGTGTAATTTCAAATTTGGCATAAAATAATTGACTTGCGGATATGCACACCCCCCCACATCCAGGCCTCTCCACGCCCATCCTCGTTCCGCTGCTGCTCGTCACCGCCTTCGTCGGGGCCCTCGTCTCGCTCGGCTGCTTCGTGGTAACGCGGAGAGGCTCGCGGCAGTTGCGGGCGGTGGCGGACTGCGACTTGGGAGGGCAGCCACCCTCCTACGGGATCGCGTGCGGACCACCGGGTAACCTCGAGCTGCCCGGCGCGTCCGTGCCGGTGACTGACGAGGCGCTGCTCAAGACGAAGATTGTTGTTGCATGAGACGAGTACTTGCTCGCGTGCTTCCATGCACGTCGCCTTAGATGTGTTTTTGTGTAATCTTGTGCACCCTTTTGTGGCACCCTAGTGTGGCTCTGACCTGGAATGTAAACTACTGATGAATTGAGATGTCTCTTAAAAGAAAAATAAACTTGCAAGGAAAACAATCTTTGTTATTTCCCTTTATCATATGGAGGCTTGCGTAGCTCGAATATATTACCAGCCAGAGGATGCGCATCGACAAATGTTTCTAAACCACACCAATTCGTGGTTTTAAGTGTTCTCAACGCCAGCCACGCTCAATTTGCAGTACTACTTGGTGTCGGCATTTTCGAGTCCTCGGCTCCGGAATGGAGATTAACAGGCCACTGAGAATGCAGACCCCACTTACACACGAAGCCATGTTACTACGCTCCGCTAGAGCCGCACACAATACCGCCCAGAACGCCGAATATTGAGGCCAACCTGCGAAACTCCACGAGGGTGCAGCACTGCCCCATGCAGGTGGAGTCCAACCTGCAGGCGCGCCTGCGTTTCACTACGCCCGGGGCAAGGAGTTGGATGGGGACTGGACCGGTTTTCCTGGTGTGCCAGGGCTATAAGGAGGGGGACCACTGATGGCAAAGGGTTTTTTTTGTTGGTCGAAGGAAGAGTTAGAATTGACCCATAGTATTGTAGTGCAATGGATTATTGCGCTGCCCATCGCGTAACCCCGCAGCAGCTTATCACCTGTTCTAGATTTGCAGTTTTCGTGACTGCAAGGATCTTGCTGGAGCGGTCAAAGCTGACGGGATGCTTGTTTGCTTCCGAAACGTGAATAATTTATTTTCATTTCCTATTTTGTCACCTACGTGACTTAACCGAAAAAACAAGGGTATAACACCTTTGGTTCTTTCGGTAAAGTCCCTTTACCAAAAGAACCAAGAGGATGAATCCCTGCAGTCACGAAAGCTTTAAATCGAAGTAACACCTGTTGTGTGCGTTGTCGCCCATCCAAGCAATGCCCCCAGGCTCCATTGCGTTACCTGGATTGGGTGCATTCTTGTAAAATTGGTCCTCTGCACCTGGAGTGCATTGTAGCTTCAAGCTCCCTACAAGGCTCTCCCCACACCCGTTTACTTTGTTCACACTGCGGCTGATTTTACATTGAGAGACTAAGCAAGAAACTCATTTGCATTGCCGACCAAACACGCGTGAAATGACGTGGTACACTCACACTATTGAGCGAGTTAAGTGGACTTTGGTGTGGGACGGTTCACTCCAGTTGCGATTGTGGTCGATACCAACGTCGGTGGCAGCCAAGGAATGTTTCTCGCTCATCCAACCACTTTCCAGGCGCGATGTTCGCCAAGATCCATAGACAAGTTGGGGGGGGGGGGGGTGGGTTTGGTCTCGTCGGGCAAGACTGCTCACGCCACGTGGAATGACCCGGTGAGGCATAACGCCACTGCCCAGTTGTGTTACCCCCCCCACCCCCTTCCGGCATTGTTGGTTTTGCTACAGATCGGGGTGTTTGCGTGTGGTCGTTTGGAACAATGATTGGTTGTCACGGTGAGCTGTATTTGGCGTGCAACTTTTTTTTTTAATACGAAGCAAACAAGACTGGGTGGGGTTTGTCCTCGTCGTGATGACATTGGCACAAGTCCAGTCCTAGCAGGGTTCATATTCTTGGTTCGTTCGGTAAAGTCACGTAGAAGGGAAATAATAAAATAATAAAAAATATTATAAAATTCTCACGACGTTTCGACCACAACACAAGCAGCCGTCCTAATTAGGACGCTGTCTTTCCTAATGAAGACTTTCCGACAGCTCTGTTCTTCACCTGAGGACGGCTGCTTGTGTTGTGGTCGAAATGTCGTGAGAATTTTATTATTTTTAATATTTTTATTATTTATTATTTCCCTTCTACGTGACTTTACCGAAAGAACCAAGAATAAGAATCCCTGCAGTCACGAAAGCTTTAAATCGAAACCTAGCAGGGTTGTGGTTGGCTGGCATCGCCTTGCCGGGTGACAGGTCACGTGGTTCGACAGGTGCCACGGGCCACGTTGATGGAAGCCGAGGGCATTGCATCAAGATGAGCACGCAGCACCATGCTGCCCCACCTTCACCAGCCCACGCTGACCAGCCTGGTGAAGTATGTTCAAATGTATCCACCCCCACGACTCGCCACGCAATACAGTGAGAGGTCCTCTTCCAACAGCGGCGGCGGTGGCATGCACTTTACAATGAACACAAAGGAAACGCCAGTGTAAGGTTAAACGTGTTCTTTGGTTCTGTCGGTAAAGTCAGGTAGGTAGAAAAATAAAATAAAGCAAAAAATAATATATCGCGACCTTTTCGATCGCAACACAAGCGGGTCGTCCTCAGGCGAAAAAATAATTCAGTAGTCATAAACAACCTCTTGTTGTAACAACTCTCGCTGGTTCAGCAGTTCAACTGCTGGATTATTTTTTTACGCCTGAGGACGACCGCTCGTGTTGCGATCGAAACGTCGTGATATATTATTTCATGTTTTATTTTATTTTTCTACTCTACGTGACATTACCGAAAGAGCCAACGAGTATGGATTCCTGCAGTCACGAAAGCTTCAAATCAAGGTTGTTAAACGTCTTTCACGCACGCAATAGCTATTTGGAAGATGACCAACTCTAAGCGCACCCTTTGGACACGTGACCCTCCGTCAATCCGTCACTCCCTGCAGTGCTGGCAGCCGTCCGGGCAGCAAACTTACTAAATAATATCGGATGGCATTTTTTCGTATTACGCTGACAGATGGATACGTGAAGGAGGACGTATTGTCCGCTTATGAATGTTGCTATTTATGTCCTCCAACAACGATCCTTGCAGTTAGTTAAGACACTTGCACCGTTCTTTCCAACTGCCTGGGGATCGAATCCTATTGACTACCTCTGGAATATCAGTCCAACTGTGCTGTACATCACACCGCCTGCCAACACGGTACAGCGCGTGTATCACGTCTGTATGTACCGTATGTTGAACTTCTTTCGCACCGTATGTAGCCAAACGTGCTAATCGTAGGTGCGGGGTGCAGGGGAGAACAGCAAACACCCCCAAAAAGGCCGTCAATTTTACCTGGACAGTCCATCCACCTGAATCATGGATTGGGGGAATCGACGCGATTACAGTCGGTTCTCATGGCGCGTCGCGAGCTCCACCTGTCCCTGCAGGTACACACGTCACGTGTTCTCCCTGTCCCTGCAGGTGCACGCGTCACGTGCTCTCCCTGTCCCTGCAGGTGCACGCGTCACGTGCTCTCCCTGTCCCTGCAGGTGCACGCGTCACGTGCTCTCCCTGTCCCTGCAGGTGCACGCGTCACGTGCTCTCCCTGTCCCTACAGGTGCACGCGTGACGAGATTCGCTGAGCACGTGACGAGTTGTCACCGGGCTGGGTTCGGCACGCGCCCCGCCGTGAGTGAGTGACTCCGTCTTGGGCATTGGCTCCTGTGGCTTCCGGCGCTATTTTTGCAATGCAACTCTCTGTGCGGAGCCGATGGTAATCCGTGCACAATTGAATGCCGTATCGATGACGCTGTCAACATCAGGTGATGGTCAGGTGGGCTGATGAGGGGCGCTGCCGTGGCTAGGAGATGTTAACTCCCTCGCCTGGTCCGCAGGAGGTCGTGGGTTCGGATCCTGACCCTGACGCCTGCTGTATATTTGGAGTTTGCGTGTTTCTCTCCCCGTGACCGCGTGGATTTTTCTCCGGGTTCTCCGGTTTTTCTTCACATTTTTATTCAACCTTCGTTTAGAGTGTTTGGCTGCTATACATTTCCACGTGATAAGCAACTTCGTTGAGCTATGATTCATGCCCGCTTCTGAAAACGAGCTATATTGCTCTGTGGGCCTTACCTGGTAAATAAAATAAAAACAACTTTAATCTATTACCGCCTTTTGGATGATCCACTGCTGAATGTGGGCAATGGTTGGTTGACGAAACTTCACCATTCTGGTCAGTAAGGACTGAGCTAGGAGGCATGTGAGGTTCTGATATCACCGGCCACTGATGTTAGCCGTGGCCTGGGATTGAACTCGGCTCTTCGGGTTCATGGCACACCGCTCCCCCTGGGGAATTGATGTTACGGATCACTTTCAGGTTGTATGTAAATGTAGTCGACGTTTCTTTTTCGGGTTTCAGCAGAAACAAACCTCATTAAAGTTTATAACCGAACTTCGAGTACCATTGGGCGAGCGGTGGCGCAGTGATTAGCCCACCGCGATATGGGCTGTTCTAAGATGCCCGTGGCGTCGTTCGCAAGAGAGCCGGCGACAGCGTCACCGTTCACACGTGAATAATTACTCGCAAATCACTCAGTTGGGTTTCACGCGTGGTAATCATCGTCCGCAGACGGCGAACAACGAAGCAGGAGTGCCCGCGTGAAATAAGCGTGAGATGCAGCGAGGCTTTCCTGGGTAAACAAGCGTTAGACAGTTTTGACCATCGTGGTGAAGTATGGTCAAACTACATCCCATGGCTGACATGGTGTGTGTGGAGGTGTTCATTTTCACGTACATACCCATCATAGACTCATATATAGACTCATCATAGACTCATCATAGACTCACGCATAGACTCATCATAGACTCACGTACATACCCATCATACACTCACATAAAGACTCGTACACTCACGTGGAGACCCGCACCTTCGATTACCACGATTTGCTACGTACGGTGCGAAAGAAGTCCATTCAGTACCATACAGAAAGACCCATAGACTCACATATAGAGAGACTCGTCGGCTACGTCTGCGCGTGGGTATGGTGGCAATGTGTTCAGGAGTTCTCATAGCTGTCAACCCCAAATCAGTGCCCGACCTTATTACAGACCAATTCAGACCCTATTGGTCACCCCGTGCCCCTTATAATTCTCAACGTTGATCCTACAAAGTCCCATCACAAGAGAGAAACACAAACAAATATACAATTTATTTTTTACTCAATTTCCCTGTACAAGAATACGGGGTAAACCGTATGGCTTGACCGGTGTGAGTTCTACATCCAAACGCCGAGGTCTGCTGGCCACGAGATGGCTTCCGGGGAGAAGAGTTCGTGTCGTTTTGATATTGCTCCGTTGAACCGGTTAGAAGGAGGGCGGACCACCCCGGTTTACTGTGTGGTCCATATTGAATGGCATCACAGTTCTGGGAACGTGTGCATGTTACGCGTGTTGAACTTCTTGGGCGTACCGTACGTAGCCAACCGTGATAATCAGAGGTCACTGTGTCGATCCACTGTGGGTTGGGATAAAAGGAAGACGGGAAGGGGGGGGAGTTACGCAAAGACTGGTTCAGACATCACGCGCCACTGATATCAGCCGTGGCCGGCAGGTGAAGTCTCGTAATGGTGCTGCCGTGCGCCAAGCTCAGTGCGCTGACGACGCACTGCGCCCACGTGATACAGTATACCTTGCAGCTATATTGGTGACTGTCGAGTTGACAAATGTCAATTCCTGCCCACCACCACCACCACATGGGATCGGCTCGTATCTGTGACCGATTCCTCGAGCGACAAGCGAGCAGCACCGCCTCGAAACGAAGTCATTGGGTTCACCGTGTGGCAATGCGCCCCTTAGCAGTGCTCTTCGCATTGCCGAGCAGACGACCCAGCTGGCTGCGTGGGGTGTGGAAGTCGCGGCGTTCTGAATGAGAGCTGACGTCAGGAGTTGCCAACCCAATCCGCGCTCTGTGCGTGTGTGGAAAGCCGCCGAGCGCATGCCTATAAATGGGAAGGCGTCACGCGGTGCGCCGGTCAGTGTGGGTTGCACGAGCGAGCGAGCGAGTTGCCGGCAGACAACCCCATCGGACAACTTTGACACAACAGCAAAAATAGATTTTAAATAAATATATTACATTAATATATTAAATTTTAAAAAAATATATAGAACCTACTGCCTATCGCATGAGCGTTGGACACTTGTACAGCCAGCCAGCCAGCGAGGAAGCAAGCAAGCAAGCAAGCAACATCAGTAACACGTTGTAGACAATTGCCAATTTTGTATTTGTTGAATAAAAGCCAAGAGGAGCCATGCAAATCGAACAAGAGGAGCAGCAGCAAGAGCAGCGGCAGGAGCAGCGGCGTGTGCGCGCAGAAGACTACGAGCAACAGCAGCAGCAGCTCATGGGAGGGAAGTCCGTCTCGCCCGCCTGCAAGCGATTCACCTTGGCCGAGGTGGAGGCGCACAGCTCGGAGGAGTCGTGCTGGCTCGTCCACGCGGGCCGCGTGTTCGACGTCACGCGCTTCGTGCGCATGCACCCCGGCGGCGAGGCCGTGATCCTGACGCGCGGAGGCACCGACCTGGGTCGCCTGCTGTCGGGGCCTCCGCACCGCCACAGCAGCAACGCCTACAGGTGGCTGGAGCAGTATTGCATCGGGGAGCTGGACACGCGGCTGGGAGAGGAGCTGGATGAAGGTTCGCAGCAGCAGCAGCAGGAGGAGGAGGAGCAACGGGCAGATGCGTCGGTGGTGACGCCGCCCGGGTCGGAGTGTGCCGAGGTGGGTTTGCGGCGCATCGAACAAAACAAAAACACTTCTGTTTGTACGCACGTGTGTTGAAGTAGCCAACCGTGCTAATCGGAGGTGCGCGGGGACACACAGCAAACTAACACACAAAGAGCACTTCGAAATAAATACGTTTTAAATCTAGACAATTTAAAAGTGCAACGCTCCGGGCAGAAGAGCGTTCCAGACGGCTGCAGAAGCGCCTCTGCGGTGACCGCCCTCGTTCGATGGCCAGCAGCCAAAAGCCGCTGCTGTGAGGATGACGGGGAAAGCTTCTCTTTTGCAAGCGAAGTGACAGCGATGTGAAGGAGGAGGCGTATTGTCAGCCGTATTCATGAAGCCAAACGTGAATTGACGAGTACCCGTGTTGTAACTCGGAGCGTAATTTGCTCACTCGATACTTTTCGGGAAAGTTGCTATAGTCGGGTTGGACTGTCTTGGCTCGCGGTGGTGATTACCAGCGAAAGGCAACGGCTCGCTGCCACACGCCAAGCTTGCCGCTCTATCGCTGTGCTTCATATGCCTCTGACCCCGTGAGCAGGTTGAGTACTAGATGAGGCGAGACGGGATGTGGGGTGCGACTAAAACAATTTGTCGGAGCAGGCGCGCGGTTCGGGGCTGTGGGCAGCGGTGTGTAAGGCGTCGTGCACGATTTGAGCGCTTGGCAAGTTGATTCATTTACACGAATTCGGTGTGGCGAGCCACTGTATTTCATTCAACGGCATCCAGTGGCTGGAGAGCAAACTAAAGACGGCTATGCTTGGAACCATAACTTGAGCTCATGGCTAAATTAGAGTTTTAAAATGTATTTCAAACTCCAATATCGCTGTTGGAGTAAAAACAATAATTTGAAACTCCAACAGCGGCGTTTTAATGCCATGAAATGCAGATACGGTATCTTGAGGCAAATCATTATTTGTTTGGTTATTTGATAGATTACCTCTTGTGAAAATATTTTTTTTATTTTAATGCCTCCATATAGTCAATTAAGATGCTGAATCTCACTAGGCAATAACTGAATTAAAGCCACCTTCATTTAAATGTCTCCTACAGTTTTGCAGCGCCACACAATATGCGTGCTGGATGGCTGGAGCGCTTAAAAAAAAACACAACACGTTCATCATGAACACTCATCAACCATTAGCACGCCCTGAAATTAATCTTAATTATTGACGCTTCCGTAACTTTTAATGGGGGGGGGGGGGGTGAGGGGGGGCGATTTACCCGCTACGAAGTTAATCAGAGCACGTGGACATTGACGCGGAGTGTTAAACAAACGCTGAGCAGGTGCACACACACAAGAGTGAAGAAGAGGCGCGTGCTGGCTTATTACGCCGAGGGGACGCAGCAAGAGGGACACGTGCATCAGAGAACACGCGCACACACACGCACAAGCGCACACACACACGCGCATACACGCACACACGCGCATACACACACGCGCATACACGCGTACACACGCACACACACGCGCGCTCACACACACGCACACACGCGCGCGCACACACGCGCGCACACACACGCGCGCATACACACGCGCACACACACACACGCGCGCACACGCACGCACACGCACGCACACACACGCGCGCACACACACGCACACGCGCGCACACGCACACACACGCGCACACACGCGCACACACACGCGTACACACACGCACGCACCAACACGCGCACACACGCACACACACACACGCGCGCACACGCACACACACGCGCGCGCACACACGCACACGCGCGCACGCACACGCACGCACACGCGAACACACGCGCACACACGCGCACACGCGCACACACACACACGCACACACACACGCTCGCACAAACACACACACACACACACACGCGCACACACACGGTTCTGGAGGTTTCCACTGTGAGGGGAGATGAACGTGACGTGGGTTAGACGTTGATGTCGCGCGTTGTGTAGCGGTAAGCGCGCCGCGCCACGAGACTCATGCGGGTTCGAGTCCCCGCTCACCACGGCCATCACCGGTGACGATTATTTGAAACGGTCCTTGGCCCTCCCCTGGGTCGACTCAGTCTCAAATGAGCGCCTGGTGCGATGCGTGAACGTTGCCACTGGGGAGACAAAATCGGCCGGGCGACATGTTGGCCACCCACCCACCCACTCGTGTGCCGCGCCGGCCTTCGTAGGTGCTCGATTACAGCACTTGCCCTGACAGTCTGCTCAGGCTATACGGGGGAGCTTTGTCGCAATTGTCGGTCACGACCAACGTGAGAGTGGCAGCCAAAATGAGGAAACTCGCTCGCTCGGAAGTACGGATACTGTACCCTGGCAGAGATGACGAGATAACAAAACACTAACTCGGGTGCCAGGAGGGGCTGGCGTGAGAGGTGGCGATGGTTGCTGCTGATGATGATGGTGATGTTCAACAGACAACAAATATTGTGGAACGGACGCCAACGTTTCGGCACTGGGTGAAGCCAGTGAATCCGTTATGCATTTTCAATCGAGGGCGAGTTATGAATCTTATTGCCCTGGCCACCTCGGACGACAGCCGAGTGTCGTGATGCGGCCGACTGCGGATTGTCACCCCTGCCGCACAAGGCCACGTTGACCCCTCGGCAGGTCACGAGTTTCTGTGGCTGTGACCGTCGCGTCTTGGGCGGGTGGTGGTGGAAGGTGGGGGGGGGGGGGTCAAAGTTGCGATGGAAAGAAGAGGGGTGTGGAGGGGGCGCGGGGGGGGACACGCACCCCGTGCCACGCGCTACTCATTTGTGTCGCCCTGCGCACACCTGCAATATACATCTATCGAATGGTTGAAGGAGATAACGATTCGCCTCGCGGTCAGGGTTGTCGCTGCTGTCAACCGGTAGAACACATACGTCACGGTTCGATGCCCGGGCGCGGTCGCCTGGGAAGTGGAGTTTAATGTCCATGCGATGTTGCTGGTGACAAGAGTGTGAACAATTATGGTAATAACAATGGCCCGTGCATTTCCCCATGAGAGGCTCGCTGATTTTCAGGTCTCTTTCATGAGAGGGTCCTGCATTAGTTGGGGGAGTTCGGCCAATTCCATGAACGAGTGGTTGGCTTCACGTGGGAGGAAACTGGCTTACCTGGGGAAAACCCACCACACTAACGAGGATAGAACACTCAAAGCCCACGGCACAGATGGATTTCATCTATTGTGCGTAAGGCTTTTTACTCTGGCCACCTCGTTAGCCCATCGAGTTTGGCAGTGAATACGAACGTGTAAGCCCTCGACTCCCTCCACTCGGGTTTGGGAATCCTCTTCTCTACCGTGATGATGATGATGATGAGAAGGGACTGTTCACAGGAAACATCGAACGTTGGGCCCACGTTGGTCCCAATCGGTTCCGGCCACATATGAACGTTGGCCTAAGGTTGCCTGTTTACTGAGTCGGGAATTGTTTTTCCGTAAAGGCATTTATCCAATAATACAGGTTTTTTTTGGGGTTAGATCGCGTAAATATATAAATGTGTCGTTAAACCCGCCACCACCGACACAGCCAATTAGTAAGGTTTGTCACGTTAACAGAACATGCCAATTCGTTACTAGTATCCAAATATGGCTGTCGCCTGATGAAGCTAGTTGTAATAACTGGCGAAATGTCGTACTCAGATTGTAAATGGTGTGGCTTGGCTCTCCAACACACCGGTTAGTGCTGTACTAGTGACGAATTGGCACGTTCTGTTTACGTGACAAACCTTACTATTTGGCTGTGTAGTTTGCGGGTTTAACGGCACATTTATATATTTACGCGATCTAACCCAAAAAAACCTGCATTATGGATGATATTGGTCGCGAACGCCCACGCGTTCAAAAGGCATCTCTGATTGTTTGGTAAGTCATTGCATTTATCCAGCAAAAGTGAACATAACACTTGGGCAAAAGTCGAACTAGTTCATGAGATACGAATATATCAATGGTTGCGTTAGGGTACAACTCTGCATTCATTCCTGTATCGCTTTTAAAGTTCACGATAATTGCATCAAATAACATTCGTTTTCATCGATGTTTTTTTGTGCGTCTGTATATGCCGTGTGTACGTGGTTAAAGCGACCCTCGCAATGTCAAAACATATCTAATTATTTCTCGAGTTAAAAAGTGTGATCTTGAAACCACGATAAGTCATCGAACGGCGAGCGGCTGGTGATTCGCGACACCTCTTGAGTGTAACACTGAGCGACGCTTTATATTATAAACGCCACGGTGGCTATGAGATGTTAACTACCTTGCCTGGTGTACAGGAGGTCGTGGGTTCGATCCCGACCTTGACGCCTGCTGCATATTTGCAGTTTGCATGTCTCTCTCCCCGTGGCCGTGTGGATTTTTCTCCGGCTCCTCCCGTTTTTCCTTCCACGTGTAGAATCAACGTCACGTGTTTAGAGTATTTGGCTGCTACAACATTTCCACGTGATGATGATGATGCCAAGCCACTTCGTTGAGCTATAATTTGATGTAGCCAGAGTCGCTTCTGAAAAGAGCTGCATAGCTCAGCGGGGCCTTACCTGGTCAAATAAAAAAGAGTTAGTAAACAGTACAACTGAACGGCCTTACCTCTCTCTGTCTTAGCAACAACAACAACAACAACACCAACCTCGCAGCGAGAGTTTACTTTACAATGCAGTTACTGTCATTTTGCAACGCACGTACAGCAACGATGCGCCAATAAACGTCTGCATTTACTACTCGGCGACTATTAAAGTTACCGTGGTCTTCAATACAACAGGGTCACGTGCTCACGGTATCTGCTCGAGACAGAATGGTACTCGCTGGTACTCGCTGTTTTAGGACCGGCCACAGCGATCGGTCAACACGTTACAGGCGCGGTGGGGGTTGGGAGTTGGTGGCTCTGTGTTAAAAAATAAATTGTACACGCATTCTCTTTTGTTATTGTTACATTCACCACCACCTTCTTGGTTCTTTCGGTAAAGTCACGTAAAATGGAAACAATAAAATAATAAAAATAAAACATTCTAATATAATAAAAGTTTTTTT